AAGATGAGGTCGAGGGTGCGCCGCCGCCGCCCGTGGCGTCGCCATCGCCGCCAAGAGTCGCGCCCGTGTCGCCGCCGCGTGTTCCGCCCACTTCGCCTCCGCGCGTCTCGAAGCTGCAAGCCCGTGCGCGCGCTGCCCAGGTCCCGCCGCCAGGTCGAACACCATCCATGGCCGAATCCGTCGACATCTTCGCGCCCGCCGCGTCCCGCTCCTCAGCCCAACCTCAAGCCCAGCCCTCGCCCGCGCCCGCCTCCTCCTCAACTCTAATAACAGACCCCCTCCTCCCCTTATCCGAACCCTCCCCCACAGACAAAAACAACAGTACCAAAGGCTCCTCAAAGCTCGCGGCGCTCGCAGCGAAACGCGCGGCCTTAGCCCGCAAGACGACGACGCGCTATCTCCCGCCGGGCACGAGCACGCTGAGCCCGACCGTGACTACGGCTATTACCACGAGCTATCATACAAGGGATACGATGGGGCCGCTGCCGGCGCTGGGGATGAATGTTGTTGGTGTTGGTGAGGAGGAGCGGGAGAGGGGCGAGAGGGAGAGGGAGAGGAGGGAGAAGAGAAGGTCGTCGGTGTTGAGGGATACGCGGGACAGCCGAGCGACGGAGGCTGGGATGCATAAGGAGAAGGAGAAGGAAAAGGAAAAGGAGAGGGAGGGCAAGAAGGAGAGCAAGCTGGCGGAGAAGGCTCGGGCTGCGCGGAGGCGGAAGGAGGAGGCCGAGCGCGAGCGCGAGGCGGAGGAGAACAAGCCGGCTTACGACCCGCTCTCCGCGCCCGGGCCCGAGTCGTGGGCCGCGCACCTGCCCGTTCCGACGCCGGCGATATTCGTGCCGCAGCTGCGCGACGCGGCGATTGCGGCGCCGCCGAGCGGGTTCGCTGCTACGCTCACCACTGCCAACGGTACGGGTGTGGATGGGGCGCCGAGGAGACGGTCGAGCAGCGCGGGCACGGGTGTGCGGGACGCGGAGAAGGAGCGGGCGCGGGCGGAGAGGAGGGAAAGGAGAAGATCGGCGAGTCGGGAGAGGAAGGAGAAGAAGCGGGCGCATTCGACTGCGCATGCGCATCATCGCGACAAGGACAAGGACAAGGACAGGGACGCCCCCGAGCGCAAACACCGCCGTCCCAAACGCGAGTCCAAAGGGAAAGAGAAAGAGCGTTCCCCCTCCTCCCCGCCCCCTCCGCCACATCCACCGTCCAAATTCACATTCGACACGCTCAGCCCGGACGACGTCGTACTGAACGCGCGGCGCGGGACGGCGCTCGCGGGCGCGCCGGGCTTCGCGTCGCCGCGCGGGAGCGCGGTCGTTGGCGGCGAGGCGGGCGCGCTGGGGCTTGTGACGGGTGCGGGGAGTGTGGCGGGGAGCGAGCGGCCGGCGAGTACGGCGCATTCTGTTAGGACTGGGACGAGCGTGGGCACGGGCGAGACGTGGGTTACGGCGCCGTATGCTGGGACGGCGGGCGCGAGTTTGAGGTCGCGCGTCGTGTGATGGATGCGGTGTACGAGTGGCGCGGAGGTGTTGTACGATGTGGCGTGGAAGGGGATACTGAATATTTGTTTTGACTTAGGCGCACGAGTGCGAATGGGCCACCCTCCTCCTTGCTACCTCATACCGAATTTCCTTCATTCCATTTTTATTCTTTTCACTTTTATTTCCTTTTTTCTGCGCTTTTCGGAACTTTTTGATGTTGTTGTGTTTCTAGTGACTGCGCGGGGAACAGTGTACTGATTAGACCCTTTCTTTTGCATGGCCCTCTCTTCGATCAATCCACAATCACACAATCAATCGAATCATATGGCAACTTGACATCTTTACACCTCATTTTGGATCCCGGGATACTGCCACATTCACGTTGTCGTCCTTTGTGGTATGTGTCTCCCTCAACCGCTATATATGCTGATCTGTGCTTCCTCTACTGCTCTGTGCGCCGACATGCGTCTCCTCTCCCGCTTCCGCTTTCTCCTGCGCTTTCTCTCCGCTCTCCGCTACTTCTTCTCGATGGCACCAGCCATCAAGGAACGGGAGAAGAAGGAAAAGGCGGAGAAGCTCGCTGCTCAGAAGCGCGCCGCCGAGGCCGCGTCTTCGACCTCGACACCAAAACGGAGGGTCGGCAAGCTACCCGCATCAGGCGCAGCTACACCGGTCCGGCGTATGGGCGCAAGTATCGACCAAGGCGCGCTCGACATGGCCGGGCTCAATCTGCAGGAGACGGATGAGCCTGTCAAGGACGAGCCGCCGCCGAAGATGACGCTCGCAAAGGAGAAGGTGCTCGAGGAGGCCCGCCAGGCCTTGAACGGCGAACGCGCGGCACTGTCGCTCGTGGTCATCGGCCACGTCGACGCGGGCAAGTCGACGCTCATGGGCCGCCTGCTCTACGAGACGGGCCGGATCGTCGAGAAGGAGCGCCAGGCGAACGCGCGCGAGAGCGACCGGCAGGGCAAGGGCAGCTTCGCGTGGGCGTGGTCGATGGACGCCACGTCCGAGGAACGCGCGCGCGGGATCACGATGGACGTCGCGCAGAACAGCTTGGCGACGCCGCATCGCGCTATTACTATCCTCGACGCGCCGGGGCATCGCGATTTCGTGCCGAATATGATCAGCGGCGCGGCGCAGGCGGATTGTGCGTTGCTTGTCGTGGACGCTGGGCCGGGCGAGTTCGAGGCGGGCTTTGCGAAGGGCGGGCAGACGCGCGAGCATGTGTTGCTCGTGCGGTCGTTGGGCGTTGCGCAGGCTGTTGTTGCGGTCAACAAGCTCGATGCGGCGAGCTGGGATCAGGACCGGTACAACGAGATCGTCGAGACGCTCAAGCCGTTCATGCAGCAGAGCGGCTTCGCACCGCAGCGCACACATTTCGTGCCCGTCGCCGCCCCGACTGGCGTCAATCTCGTCACGCGTGACATCAAAGAGGCCGAGCCGTTGAAGAAGTGGTACGATGGGCCGACGCTCGTCGATCTACTCGACAAGCTGCAGCCACCAGCGCGCGATCTCAGCGCGCCACTGCGGTTCCCTGTGTCGAACGTGTTCAAGGCCACTGGGAGCTCTTCTGGTGTTACGGGACGCGTGCTCAGCGGAGTCGTGCAAGTCGGCGAGAGGCTGCGTGTGCTTCCTGGTGACGAGACTGCTGTCGTGAGAGGTACGATCTGCCGCTATATTCGTCTAGTGTACTGCAGCTGACCCTCATATGATAGCAATCGAAGGCGACGATGATAACTTGCCTTGGGCAGCAGCCGGCGCCAACGTCACCCTCTACCTCACCGCGATCGACCCCATCCATCTCAACATCGGCAGCGTACTATGCCCGCCGACCGCGCCGGTCCCGCTGGCGAGCACTTTCACCGCGCGCATCATCGTGTTCGACATCGTGGTGCCGATCTTGGCAGGCTCGGCCGTCGAGATCTTCTTTGGCGCGCACGATCTACCGGCGAGCATCTCGAAGCTCACCGCGACGCTCGATCGGACATCGGGCAAAACGATCAAGGCTAATCCGCGTGTTCTCACGAAGGGCGCGAACGCTGAGGTGCAGATCACGCTCCGGGGGACTGGGACGGGTACTGCGGCCAGGCCGACGCTCGTGCCGTTGGAGCCGTTCTCCGTGAACAAGGAGATGGGGCGCGTGCTTGTACGCAGGGGTGGAGAGACGATCGCCGCAGGTAAGCTTTGAGTATACGTCTGTGTCAGGTTCAGACGTTGACATATCGCGCAGGTATCGTTCTGGACATCCTGAGCTGAAGCCGCCCATCTACTTTCTCGAGAGCCGAGCAGACTCCTACATCCGGCTTGCTGTATACAAAAGACATACATTGTATTAGGAATGAAATCATGTAGCGTAGTGCAATGAATGTGTATCTGTACAACAGTTGGGATAGAAATGTCTTAAAGTCCGCTCTACCGAACCTACATGCGGCCCTCTTCGCTGTCGAAGTGTCGCAAAAGTCCCATACGGGTGATCAGTGTCAACGAACGCTCGTCTGTGCTGATCAGCGGTCATCAGCAGGCGGGCAGTGGTAACCGACGGACAACGTGTATCAGCGCTGGCTCGCAGTGATCAGCACTGATCACTCATCGGGCGGTGACCAGCGGTGACCAGCGCTGGTCAACGTCTATCACCACTGTTGACCAAAAAAAGAATTTATTGCTTATTTACCTTGCACTTCAAATTTTCTTCTCGAAAATCACGCAACAAGAGTGGGAGCAAGAGATAGATTGCGGGGCGGGCACGTATGTATGTATGTACATGGGTAGCATACCAGAAGCGATGTAGAGCGCTACAGTTACCAATACCATTACAAGTGTACGTAAGCAAGCTATATACAAGGCGCAGCGGTGTGAATACGAAGAGTATGTGTGGGGTACCGAGCGAGCAGACTACATCGCACTTCGAGACCTCCTCCCCGAACTCGACAATTTATTCGTGTACTGATAGCCTCAGTGCCGCGTGCACGGGCTATGATGAGCGCTCAGCCCGTGAGGCACGAGCTGCGAGCTGCGAAGGAGCGGGCGAATCGAGCACGCGGCGGCAGCACGCAGGTGGTCGGGGCGGACGGGCTCTGCGATGGCGGTTGGCACAAGAAGTAGCTATAGGCGAGAGGTAGCGTCCGAGGGAGAATATGGAGATCGGGGTGCCATGATGGTGGAAGGCGAGGGCGACTTGGTGGTTGAAGCGAGCGCGCGTGTCGTCTTATTCACCGTGTGGAGCGCGCACCAACTTGCTTCGCACGGCCATCCGACTCGCTCTCGCTCGCCGCGTCGACAGCAGATCCCCGCCCCGTCCACCCCTTTATTATCGTACACGTCCCACCTGCTCACCACAGCCAAAGGTTGCGTATGGCTACATCGTTTCCAACGAAGAAGGGAGAATCGGGTTGCTTGGCGGGTGGCACTTGCTGACATTGTCGCATTTAAAGTACACTCCCTCGGGGCCGCCCTGTAGCATGCTAGCGGACTACTACTTGCACTGTACATATGTAGATTATGCGACTGGCTGACAGTCATGTTTCCGTAGGAGATCATATAGCTGCGAGACACCGCGACCACCGCGCGGCGACCGCAGCGACCGCCAAAGGCTGAGCAGCGAGACCAGGATCGCCGCCCTGCGAAGGGAACATATATTATATATAATATTTCTCGTTGCTTGTGAGCAGTGCGTGTTAGTGGTGATCAGTGCTGCTCACCCGCCCGCGTTCGGGTGGTCAGTGCTGATCAGCACTGATCCAGTCGTCGGTGGGTCGACGCCGGTGATCACCGGGATGGGACTTTTGCGACAAGCGCGCTCGCTTGTCATAACGTAACCCGGAGGACAATGAGCTTGCCGAAGTTTGAGGTGACCGCTGGCTACGCGTACGCTTGGCCTCTGCCGGTTCAGCCTCAGGTTCGACCTCCTGTACAAAAGCAGCAGTCGTTTCGGACGAAGACTGTGGTTCGGGATGGAGCCATATGTGGCTGAGAGCTTCTTGAGGGCTCATACGCTCACCAGGATCCTCTAGTGACATGCGTCTGATGAAGTCTTGCACTGTCAGGTGTCAGTTTATCTGGGTGTTGTGATGACCAGATTGGCTTACAGTGTTTGCGGTTCTTCAATCTGTCCAGCCGAAGGGTCCTAAGCTCGTTCATCTTCTTAGCGTCGCAAACTTCAAACCCGGAGCCGCTATCTACCGGGTAGCGGACTTCGACCAGGTCATACCCATTAGTCGCGCTGAACTAGTATCAGACAGGGCGCACAAGCGTGCACAAAGAAATGGTTCAGTACTTACACGCAGTATACGGTCGCAGCAATGGCAAAGCTATCGATGGCTAGCGTGATGGATGCATCTTGTAGACCGATTTCTGGAGCGCGATAGTGCTCTACCGCAGTCTGTTTTGTACAGTAAGATACTCCCACAACAAGCAAAAGGATGCAAGGGCTTACACAGAGTTCGTGGAGGTGACCGAATCTTAAAGCCATACCGAAATCAATGACGGAGACTTTGTCTGGGTTGCCGTCGGCGTCTAGGCGGTCTATGACAGCGTTATCGGGCTTGAAGTCACAATGAGCGACATCTTCCCCATGAAGATACTAGCCGCAAGTCAGGGTGAGAGCCGTGTTGCTTCAAGAACGACGTTACTCACGTCGAAAGCCCGGCAAATCTGGGAAGTTATCCTGCGATTGACGAGATCATCTGCCACATGGTCTCAGGTTTCGAAATGCAGAAGACAGGTTCGGCTACGCACTCGGAGGTTCGTCGCATGTTTTTACCTTGATGTAGTCTGCAAGAGTTCCGAACGGCGCGTAGCTTATAACGGTGTCTAGTATACGATCGAGGGGAACATCAGAAGGCAGTACCTCTGTGTGGACAAGGAAATACGTACAAATCGAAACCCCTTCACCCCCAGCATCGCTGTCGACCCAGTGTCGAGTATATTTGCATACACATTCATGGATAAGATCCCGCCAAAGTAGGGGTTCGCGTAATGCCTCTTCTTTATCCGCTTCGATGGTTCTAACCTCTTTAATGGCGTAGAACTCGCGGTTGGCAATATTCTGAACTTGCGCAACTTGGCCGTATGAACCTCGACCTAGCCATCGAAGGGCCTTATAAGGAGTCCGGTTTTCTTGCGTCCTATCCGGGATGAACAAAGCGTCGAATCTGTAGGTCAAGGTTTGCCAGTCGTTCGACGTGGCAGCGTCGCCGAGGGCTGATCTTGGCGATCCCACTTCAATCGTGTCGCCATTCTTGAGTTTGTGCCCCTTGATGAGATCGACATGATTGCCATTTACCTGACAAAGAGTCAATTAATCATGCCAAACCATGTGCATATTGGCTCGTTGGCATACTCGTAATTTCCTCATGAGTTCGCGGATCGTGATGACGGCGTCCAGAAGTTCCTCTCCGTTCCAGTTTAGGGCAAAGAGTTCCCGCTCGTCGTCTATGTATGAAGTTAACGATATGTCCATCATGTACCAATATAAGTGGAGGACCCATACATTCATTAGCTTCCTCTCCTTCTTGGCCGTATACCTGTTCGATAGCGTGGCTGCTCAGCAGCCGCGCGAAGAAAGACTGACGGGATCTCGCGTATATAGGCTTAGCCATCAAGCCATCGGGTAGGTCACCGTCAAGGTGAAGCACGGGTACATCGGAAGATTCCTGAAATAATCCCGCAGCGGGGTCATAGGACTGAGATTCGGCAGATGCCTTCAGATGCGGCGAAGGCCGGACAGAGAGGACGATGCGCGACCGGAAGGGGTTGCGATGAAGAATAGTCATCTGGTATGTTGACGAGACAGGGTGGTGCAGAAAGCGTCGTACTTATAGCATGATGCTATGGCCATCCTTGCCGAAAGAATAGCAGAAAAACAACAATAAGGAAAGTACGGATCGGGAAGTCAACAAGTTCTTGCTCGAAAATCGGCGAGGGCGGTGTTGAAGATACCGGTCTAGAAAAAGAACAGTTGCTAGGCTGAGTGAGAGACGCGCATTTGTAATACGTGCATGGCCAAAACAAGGACATGCAGTATGCTTAACGCCGGGCGCTTTGTGTCGTGTATGGCGATATCAAGAAGGGGTTGAATGGAGTCGGAGCTCGCTCCTCTGTGTGACGCGTCCGATATGGTCATACTTAGGATTTGCACCTGTGTCTACAACCACTCCCGCAGCAAGGAAGCCCCTTCGGGTGCTGGCGAGTCGGGCAGCACTGTCGGCCTCGGTGACGGTCAGACAAGAGCTTGACATTGACAAGAGCTGTCGTCGTCAAATCAACTAAACACGTGAATGAGCGCCCGGCCCGTCGATACCGCCCCGACTTCTTCCCAGGCAATTGTATGTTGCACAATGACTTCCATGTCGGGCGGTGAAAGACTGTTGTCTTTATACATGCTAGATCGACGACGATCACCCTTGTTCCCCTCTCAACGGTGCTTTAGCCACTTCGTAACGCCCTGACCGCCTCTCGTTACTCGTCTCTCGCATGTCCTTCAAGCGATTCAATGGCATTCCCCATCCCCATATCTATGCGGCCCTAGTACCCGCCGAAGACGGAGTGGGCCTCCCAGGCTTTGATCTGCTCATGCCTAAGAAGGAGTTTACCGTTGGTCGTGCAGAACACAATGACATCTGCATTCGCGGCGCTGGCATCAGTTACGTTGTTGGCCGTATTTAGTTGTAACTGAGATATTGACATGAGTATTGCTCACAGGCGACGAACACTGCAAGCTTGTGTGGAATACCGAGAAGAAGAGAATGTATGTACAGTGGTTGCCGACTACCAATGGAACATGGGTACGTCACAAAACGCGACCACCTTCCAAAACAATCCTCATTCTCATTCTCAGATCCTGAGAACTCGTTACGATTGTCACCGACTCAAAGAAGGCGAACTGTATCCCTTGCTTGGCGGAGAAATCAGTTTTGGGCCTTCCGTTAACAAATATGGGAAGCCTCCCGGCCCCGACGACTACATGTACTCGTTTCGCGTTTATTCGGAACATGAAATGGAGGACTATCTGGAGCCTGCTCAGCTCGCGGAGCGGAGAAAGGCCCGCTCTAGGTTCGGGACTGCACGCAGGTGAGCTCACTACTCTCAATTCTATGCGATGGTGTTAATGCGAAGACAGTGACGAAAGTGCTACCAAATGTGTTATCACCTATCGTTCCTTGTCCGACCGCGCTCCTGATCCATCCTTACCACGGCAAGTCACGCCGCCCTTCGTCCCACCCCCTCGACTCGGAAGAGACTTTCGCGTCACAGGCAATGTCGGTCACTATCAAGGAAGGGAGTCGGACAGACCCGATAGCTTCGACCGTGCTAACCCTGACATCGTCTGGCGCGGCTTTGTGCCGATCAAACCCGGAACCGAATCTCTCGTCCCGCGCGAGGTCGAGCTTTGGTCAAATCACTATGGTCTGCCAGTGGGACTACATCCCAAATACTCTCAGTATAGCAGCGTACCATATGACGACGTCCAGACCGATTTCGATCGCGAGCGACTTGAGCAGCGCGAATACATGGTAGACTACCTTCGATCCGCGGAACGTAAGGCAGCCTACAAAGCTGAATGTGAGAGGGATGGGCGAACCTACTTCTCCCCCACCCCATCGCCCTCTCCTGCCCCAGAGTCCGTTCCGGATCAGCATTCTGGAGGTGATGAGGCACACGCGGCAAGCTCGCTCGCTGATGAAGCGACGCTGGCAGCGACCCCGACCGCCCATACGTGCACGCCACCGCGCAAACAGTCGAGCTTGGACTGTGCGCCCGACACAACCACATCTGGGGCTGGCCCTTCGTCCATCCTTTCTCGTACAAGTGTTCGCACGCACAACATCCCGGGGAAGCGCAAGAGAGATCTCGATCCGCCTACTCATGAACACTCCGCGAAACGCCATCAACCCCGTGCGACTCGCGATGGCGCGCGGACACGGCAGCGCACTACACGGGCGAAACCTGGGGCTGCAGGTATGGTCGTGAGCGACGCGCGAGGGCCGAGGACGGCCGACGCAGAACTTGGGGAGGCGCAGGGTACACCGCCGCGTCGGTCTGCTCGTCTGGTGGGGAAGCCCCCCGTGCGGTACAAATACTGACAAGCCACTATCAATGTCTGCACTTAGTTCTTCATTCGTATTCATTCATGTACCTACTACTTGCGTCTCAGTCGATATTAACGAGCTCAAGCTCTCGTTCTCCTGAATGTGATCTGTGCGCGCGACTCGCCAGCTGTATGCGACTGAACACCATAGAAATATATATGGTGTTCTCGAACCCAATCTGCGCAAACTCTGACATATCTGCAAACACCGCTATGTGTGTATTTTATCACTAATAGATCACGCTTCACCGTTGAAGTACGATTGGGATGTGTGCCGACTAGTACGTGCCGACCCAGATCTCGGACCGGGTGCCGAGGCACCGCGACACGCGTGGGCTATCGGTCTTTCTTGTCTCAAACAACAACTGCCATCTGGAGCCATCCACGTCTATTGTTATTCGCGCTGTCGGCGCCTCAAAAAGACAATGATACTGCACGCGATGTCCAAACTTCGGCCAGAAACCACTGCCACGAGATAGTCCTCCATCCCATAGACCTTCGAGCTACGACAGTCACACCTGTGCATGGCTTTCAGGACATTCAATGGGATACCCGACCCACTTATCTATGCTGCGCTCATACCCGCGCGAGAAGACCTGGGTTTACCTGGCTTCGATCTCTTGATGCCCCAGAAGGAGTTCACAGTTGGTCGGGGAGAGCATAATGATATTTGCATTCGCGGGCGTCATATCAGTTGCGTTCCGAATCACCTATTGCAAGTTTCTGGTCTTAACCCTTCTTTTTATAGGCAATGAGCAGTGTAAACTCGTATGGGACTCGGAAAAGAAGGTCATGCTCGTTCAGTGGCTGCCAACCACTAATGGTACCTGGGTAAGTCGAGTTCAATCGTGACCAGTCCGGCCGGCTGACTCGATGAGCAAGATCAAGAACAGTCGACACGAGTGCCATAGATTGAAGCAGGGCGAATCGTTCCACTTATATGGTGACATCAGCTTCGGTCCAGCTGTGAGTAGATACGGCAAGGGGCCTGGACGAGATGACTACCTATACACGTTTCGCGTCTATGGCGAGCACCGGATGCAAGAGCACTTGCAGCCCGAAGAACTTGTCGAGCGTAAAAAAGCCCGAGCTCGCTTCAAGACAGCGCACTTGTACGTGATACATCACACAACGGCTTCTCCGCTGACGCTCTGACGCTCAAACTCAGTGACAAGGCTACTGCTACGAGACGATGTGTTGTGCAATACCGTACCTCCTCTGATCGCCCACCAGAGCTGGCTTCCGCCGAACGCCAAGCGACACCCCCATTTGTCCCTCCGCCTGCGCTTGGAGATGATTTCAAGCCGAGCGGCAACGTCGGCCACTTCGAGCCTCGCGACAAGGCTGATGGCCACGACTGGGCTGATCCAGACATCGTTTGGCGCGCTGTCGTACCCGTCAACCCTAACACCGAACCTGTCTTTCCCGACGATATGGAGCTTTGGTCGCATCACTACGGGTTGCCGGTCGGGCTCCATCCCGATTATCAAACGTTTAGCGGCACTCCGTATGACGACACATTCACCGAGATCGACCAGCGGCGGCAAGAACGAGCTGAACGCTATCTCACATGGAAACGGTCCGCTGAATACAGTGCGATGGTGAGATTGGCTTGCGAAGAGACGGGGCAAAAATACACCACTCCGACTCCCTCTCCCTCTCCCGCACCTGAGCTAGATCTCGAACAGTCTCTTCGTCCTGGCAGGTCGCGGTTCACTTTGTCAGCGAGTGACGTGCCGTTGACACCCATTCCATCTTCCCATGCCAAGGTTCGCGAGCCCAGCCCGTCTGACTGCAGGTCTCCCGACAGCACGTCTCATGTGGAGAGCGCCGCGGCTCATGTCGAAGACGCAACTCATGTTGGGCCTCGCAAGCGGAAGCGCGCACTGGACGACGCACCAACCCCCAAACGACGGCAGCTCCGTGCACCGACCAGCGGGACTGGCCCGCGGACGCGCTCTGCGCGCGCACAATCTCACGCGGACAGTTTGGTAGCCTCAAAACCTACGCGAAAATCAAAGGCTTTTAGGGCAAAACAGGCGCCTGATGTGCTACCGCGTCGCTCTACGCGCCTCATGGACAAGCCCCCCGTCCGCTACAAATATTAACGGTCCTCATCGCGATCGTCAACGCTGCCATTCGAGCTTGTCACTATTGATCCTCGATCTTCTATCGTTATTTTGGGCTGTCATGCTTAGCGTACCTAGATGTACGCTATAATCGTACTAGTACTGGTGCTTCACGCTTGAATCAACATGAGTACTGTACGTGACCAATGCCCCTGCGAGACTATTTGTTCCGGCAGGATCAAACTTCCTTAGACTCTTTCTTGATCGTGGCTTGGCTTAAGCCTGCTACACCCTTGTAGATGTCCATCGACCACAGGCTGGACAAACACAGACGGATTGAGGATTCGAACTCCCGGGGGCGGTAGAGCCGTCGGATCATTCGCGTTCTCAGGCGCTGATTGTCTTGTTGAGGTCATCTCAAACAACAACAACCATCTAGAGCTGACGCTTATTGTCTATACGGCCTAGCTCTTCACAAATACAATGATGCCGCGCTCGACTCCCCATACTCCCGCCTTGCTTATGCCAGAAACGACCACCACGAAGTAACCGATGGCGTTCAGAACATTCAATGGCATCCCACATCCTCTCATCTATGCCGCGCTCATACCCGTTCGGGATGACGTGGGTTTACCGGGGTTCGACCTTCTAATGCCGCAGAAGGAGTTCACTGTTGGGCGTGGGGAACACAACGATATCTGCATCCGCGGGCCTCATATCAGTTGCGTGACAGTATACATTCGTGGCTGAGAATATGAACTTACCTTCGCTCTACCGCTTGCAGGCAATGATCACTGCAAACTTGTATGGGACGCCGAACGGAGGGCGATGTTTGTGCACTGGCTGCCAACTACGAACGGGACATGGGTGAGTGCAGAACTGGCAGTGCTACTGCAACGGTCTCATCGCCACTTCTAGATCAGAAATAGACGATACGAGTGTCATCGGCTGAAGAAAAACGAATCGTTCCACCTATTGCGCGACATCAGCTTCGGCCCTGCAATCTATAAATATGGCAAGGGGGCCGGCCCAAGCGATTATCTCTACACGTTCCGCTATTATGGCGACCGCGACCTGCAAGAGCATCTGCAGCCTGAAGAGTTCGCCGTGCGCAGGAAGACTCGTGCGCAGTTCAAGACCGCTTGTTTGTGAGACACATCCCTTGAATCGCTTTCTTTACTGACGCCTGTACCAGTGATAAGACTACGGCTACGCAAAGATGTGTGATCCAGTACCGTTCCCACTTAAACCGCGCGCCTAGCGCTCCCTTAGAAACGCGTCAGGCGACCCCTCCCTTTGTCCCACCTCCTGCACTGGGAGATGATTTCAAAGTCTCCGGCAACGTCGGCCATTTCGAACCTCGCGACAGACCAGACGGTCATGACTGGGCGGATCCTGACATCGTCTGGCGCGGGTTTGTGCCTGTCAACCCCGACACAAAGCCGGTCTTTCCCGGGGACGTAGAACTCTGGTCGCATCATTACGGTCTACCGGTTGGTCTTCATCCCGAGTACTCAACTCACAGCGGTGTTCCGTACGACGACACCTTCACCGAGATTGATAGACGGCGACAGGAACAAGCCGAGCGTTACCTCACGCGTCTTCGATCTGCAGAGCACGAGGCCATCATAAAAGCGCTCTGCGAAAGGACCGGGCAGACATACTTCCCTCGGACTCGGACTCCGTCTCCATCCCCCACGCCAGAATCAAGCCCGGGGCACGTTCCTCAAACTGGCGAGCCTCTGCCTGCGATGACAACCTCCACACCTCCTTCACCATCGAAAACGGTTCCACCTCTTCTTCACTCGCTTAGTCCCGTCCAGTCAGGACCGGCGAGCCCAGAGCCTACATCTCAGCCAACTGAGTCACTTTCATCTCAGCATACGCCCTCGTCGCTTGCGCTTTACGCGAAAGGGAGTATACCTACAGTCGACTCTTCCCCTCCTGTCAAGCCGCACAAGCGGAAGCGCGGAGAAGGCACTACTGGCGACGAACTACCGCCCATGAAACGGCGCTATCCTCGTTCGCTGCGGAGTGGTTCCCTTTCAACACCCGTATACAACTCAGAGGATGCGGAACCCGTTGACGCGGCGCACACTCCCGCACCGCGCCGGTCTACGCGGCTTGCAGACAAGCCCGCTACCCAGTACAAGTACTGAGTGGTCGAGATCCATTCAATGTTGTCCGTCGGTCTACCATGTCATGGACGTTCCTATCCATTGTTCGCTGCTTGACGTTTGTACATAACACTTCCAGACACCCTACAAACCCTATGCATCTGAACTAGCGAATTGTACCGTGACGACGCGTAGTAAGAACTCTGCATGTCTCAGACCGAAACGGCGTTACAAACGCCGACGTTGAAGGCGGTCCTGGTATCCAGTCCAGTTCTCACTCTAGCCTGACGACCACAAGATGGCCCAGTATAAGGAAGCGACGTTCGCGACCTTCGCCCACAACACGAACGAGCATGTCATCCCTCTCCACCTCCGACTCAATCATCTCAGCTTTCGATGCTCTGCTACCTCCGCACTACACCCATGTATCAACAAGCGCCAGCGGTAAGCCCTATCACCTTCCTCTTCGCGACCATCCACTGAGACACGAGCAGAGGACACCCTTCCTGGAGAAGTCGTACCGCTGGCCGAAAACGAGCGGCCGTCGCTACTGCTGGACGCACTCGGCAACGAATCGCTCATATTCGAGGACGAGGAGCGCGAGTTCCTCGAAAGTCCCATCGTCTCGACCTTCCCGACCTCCATCGCTTCTTCACTCCCCGACGATCACGGGTTCGCCTACCAATGCCCGAGCGACGCATCTTTTTGCTCCATCGACGAAGACCCCTCCGCGTTCCTCGCCGCACCGCCCCCACCGCACCCGCACGAAGTCGACTTCACGCCCGACGCGCGCGGCGTCATCGTGCGCGGCCATGCGCTCTTTCTCGACTTCCCGGGCGTTATGTTGCATGCTCCGAAGGAAGGGGACGTGGACCAGCCCATACGGCCGTTCGTGGACGAGGACAACTGTTTCATACGCGAGTTGCCGGATCCGGAGTTGTTGGCGCCGCCTGCTACGACGTTCAGCGGGGAGGTGCTGGGTGGGGACGATTACATCGTGGTACCAGAGGGGTACACCATTGGTCCTGGAGACGAGGGAACGGGTGCGCTTGTGGAACGCGGTATCTCGGACGAGGGAGCGGCCGGATCCGAGGCGCGGAACCAGGATGCGCGGGAACCGTGTCCGCCCTCGAGGTCGATCTCCGACAAGGAGAACACCTGCGCAGCCTCACAAAGCTCACTGCGCGTTCTATACGACCCAGAGCCTGGCCTGAGCGAGACGCTGTCCACGCTCATCAGATCAACAAGCGCCTCGTCCGAATGGTCACTCATTGCAGGGCAAAATGCGCAGGACACCTATCCTTCTCCTGCACCCGAGCCCCAGGGCATCGTCCTCGTCCCCTCCAAAACCATCCACGCACAAAGCACATGCTCACTGTCCGCTTCCGATAGCGCAGACACCGACATCGGCTGGACAGGCCACGTCCCCTCCCTCATCCTCCACATCGCCTCCGACCGCGAAGATCGGGACGCGCAGGGATATCATTGCTTGCCCCCTATCACCTCATACGACTACGAGCTCCTCTACGCGCCCCCTCTATCCAACAACGGGCGCATGGAAGACGTGTGGGAGGCATACCATTATCCATTCCAAGCCTTGATGCAAGAGGCGGAGCGGCAGCGTCAGGAAAACGAGTCGATGTGTGTCCAGGACATGTGGCACGAGATCACGGAGACGGTTGCGAAGGCTTGGAGGGCGGGCGGGATGGGCGCGTTTGAGCCTGTTACTGTGATTGATGCGGGTGAGGAGGAGACGTGGAAGGTTGGGAGGCGGAGGGAGTCCAGTGGGAAGGAGGTTGCTGTATGGCAGGAGAAGGGTCTGACGAGCTGGTTCGCGCGGAAGTTCGAGACGGGCAAGCGCCGGTTGAAGAGTTTCTGAACACGTCCTGCTCTTGATAGGTCTTACATGTACCACTACCATCTGCAATCGATGCTCTTCGATCCTTCGCTGAGTGCCAAAATGAATGAGAGTGAAAAACTAGCCGAATATATATCAGTACCAAAACACATATCCAACATCCAATGTCCGAGCTCCACAATTGTAATCAACACGCTCACAGAGCGAACAGATCTAATATACCCCCTCCCTCCTACGCCTTCGCCTCGCCCGGGAAAAGCTCCTCCCGCACCTCATCCGCATGCAACTCCTCCTCATCCTTCGGTCCCGCCGCGGGCTTCTTCGGCGGCTCAACAGGCTTATCATCAACCTTCGCCTTCGCCTCCTCCGCCTTCGCCTGCGCCTCCTCCGCGGGCGTTATCCCCTCCACGAGCTCATGCTGCGCAATCCCATGCGCGATCCCCTCGTCGACTTTCTTCTCCCACTCTTCCTCCTGCGCCTTTGGTATCGGCACGTCCTTCTCCTCAACCTTCGCCTGCGCATCATCAAACAGCACCTTCTCCTTCAACGCCTCCTCCGGCGCACCAGCAACATCAACAGGCACCACGACCTTCTCCTCCTCCTCCTCCTTATCCTGTCCCTGCACAACACCACCCGCCGGCATCGGCGGCGCCTTCTCCGGCGCGGCGAACGCATCGCGGCCAGGCTGCGCCTGGTGCGCGTCGACCTGCGTTTCCTCGGGCGGGGGCGCCTCGTCCAGGATCGGCGCGTACGGGTCTTCGACTACGACCGGGCCGCGGCCGTCGGCGCCGCCGCCGATTGTTGCGAGGGGCGCGGCGGCTTTGGGGGTTGCGCCTATTGCTGCGAGGGCGTCGTAGGATGCGATCTAAGCCGGTTTGAGGTTAGTGAAGGGTTGGAAGAGAGAAGAGGGAGGGAGGGAGAAGGGAAGGAACGCACATCATCAAAGAACGCATTACAGTCGAAATCCCAGCTCCTCAGCCACATCGCATTCCTACACTGCCCCTTCGTCCACGGCAGCCCATACGCCAGCGGCCTAAAAATAGAATAATTCCACACCGCGACGAGCACGATGACCGCCGCGACGCCCAGCCTGAACTGCGGCTTCAGTAGCGAGGTGAGGAGGTCGAACACGGAGCAGAGGAGCAGGATGGAGAAGTAGAGCGCGGGCAGGTAGTGGTGCAGGAAGAGCTGGCGCGACATGAGGAAGAAGGGGAAGTAGTGCAGCGCCCAGCCGGCGAAGAGGAAGCCGCAGAGGGCGTCGTATTTTAGGACTTTGCCTGGGCGTGCGGGTCAGTATGCGATCCGGGCTGGTTGGAGTGCATTCGAGACGCACTGTTCTCAAAGTCGCGGTACCCGCGCTTAGCGCGCAGAATGAGAAATCCGCGCACGGCGGCGTACGAGAGTACGCTTGCTGTGCTGAGCCACCAGATGAAGGGGTTGCCGATGAGGTAGATCTGCTTGTGGTCTTTCACCCAGAAGTTCTGTCGCACGTGGCGTCAGCACAGCCTACAATTGAGGGTAGAGAGTGCAGAGGTAGACGCACGATGCCCCGGAGAAGACGCGGCCACGAGCTCGGGCGGGAGTCCCAGTTGTGGCGCTCGGTGAGGCCCGCGTTCGTATTCCACATGACGGCGTTGAGCTCGAGGAACTTGGACAAGAAGCCCGGCTTGCGGTAGTTGACCTTCGCCGCGTTCTTCGGCACTAAAACCCACCAGTAAGTCAATCACATAAAGAGGGAAGATGCGAAAGAAGGCGCACGGTTCGGATGCGTAGAAGTCTCGACCATCCACAGACTATTCTTCCTCACAGCATTCTTATTGCACGTGACCTCCTGCTGATCGAACCCCCACTGCGGCAGCTTCACCACATGCGAGAACAGATAGCATCCAGTCAGCGGGTGTTTGAGCTTGAACACCGTGCGGAGGGTCTTGACGCGCCCGCCCTTGCCCGATTCCCAGTCGCTCGAGTCGCCGTGGTCGATCTCGACTATCCAGTCGTCGTTCATGTCGCCTTCGAAGCCGGGGAGGCCGTATGCTGAGACCTGTATCGGGTAGGTAAGTTGAATGGAGAAGGGGATGGCGCAGGAATGGGGAGACGGACCTCGTTTTGGAAGTCGACTTCGCTGACGGGCGGACGGAAGTCGTGGCTGTGAAGCGACTTGTCCGTGATAACATGCCTCAACTTGACGCGCGCTACACTCAAGTCAGTTTCTCCATACCGTGTAACAATATGATGACGAAACGTACTGCCATCCCTAATCCACTGCAACCCCTCCAGCTCCCTCCAATTTTCATACGGATCGCCCGGCGCACTCGCATTAACGATCCTCCACTCATTATTCTCATCAATATGCGGATACAGCGTAATCTGCTGCTGCTTGCTGCCCCCCGGATAATTATGCGGATGGCTATGCAAATACCCGCCCTGCGTGTTCACATGCCGTATCGTGATCGTGCTCCCCACAGCGACGTCCGCGTACGTATCCGCCATCGAGTGCCCGCCGAGCGTATGCTGGAACTCGGCGCTCATGAACCCGTCGCCCTCGCCCGAGTTCTCGAGGATGAGGAAGTGGATCTGGAACATGAACATGTAGAAGAGCGTGGGCACCGCGATGAGGCATATCGCGCGCGCGGCGAAGTGCTTGGTCCATAACCTAGCGCTGACGCGCGTGTCGCCGAGCAACGTCCACAGCTGGAGTATAGTCCCGAACCCGACCGTGGCGATCGTGAACAGGCCGACCCATTTACAGCTGACGACCGCGCCGAGGCTGAGGCCCGTGAGCGTGAGCCACGTCCACCACCCGGTCGTAAACGGCCGATAGCGCTGCTCGTTGCAGAAGCCGACCCAGAAGAAGATGGTGAGGGCCGTGAAGAAGACGAGGGGGGAGTCGAGGAGGATGTGTCGGCTTTGGGTGATGAGCGCGTTTTCGAATATGAGGAGGAGGGAGGCGAGCAGGGCGGTCGTGGCGCGGCAGTCGAGCATGCGCAGGGTGAAGTAGGCCAGTGGGACCGTGCTCACGCCCAGCATGGCAGGTAGGAGGCGCATCGCCACATACGGCGTATTCTCATAGTTCCTGTCACACTCATTAGCACATCATTGCCTCACATATAATATCCACAGTACAGTACTCACACAGCAATATCCCCAAAATCGAAATTCCCCTCAAACCCAAACACCCACGCGGCGAGGGTGATCAACAGCTTCGCCAGCGGCGGATGCACATCGACAAAATACCGCGTCTTGATATACCTCGCCGCGAACTTCCCGAAATGGACCTCATCAAACACCACCGAATTCGGCTGGCTTATCCTGAACAGCCTGACGAAGGCTGCGAGGAGGAGCACGACGACCATGAGCTTCCATTCGCCCGGCGTTATGGCCAGGCCGCCCGGGTATGCACGTGGGCGGAGGCGCGAGGGCGCGAGGCCGGTGCGCGCGGCGTCGCGCCGGGCGTCGGCGTCGAGGTAGTGTTCGGATTTTGGAGGGAAGCGCGGTTGCGGGGTGTAGCCTGGTAAGGGCGGTGGGGAGGGCGGACGGCGAGCGCGCACGCTAGCCATGATGTAAACGAGCGGTGATGTTCAGTACAGTATTATTTCTGGCTGAGTTTGGATGGATGAGAAGTAAAGAATATTGAAGAGAGAGGTAGATCGAAGGGTGACGGTCGGGTGGAAGCCACGTATGGTCGGCGCAACTGCGCATCATCATCATGTTCTACAACGTTTGTGAGGCGCGCGTCGAGACGCGTCGCGTCACAGCCGCGTCCCCAGAGATTATCTATAGTGTATCGCACCCACGCTATACAGGTACCTCTAGACGAATACCGTTCGCGCTCGCAATCAAATCATAGGATGGTCAATGCTTCAAGCGGGCCACGTCAGCAGCAAAGAAGGTATTTTGATCTATATGTACAGTTGTACTGCTCCACTCTCACGATCCATCGCCTAGACGGCCTCGCGTCTCCTGGGCGATGCGCGCAGAATATCGTCCACACTACTCAAACAGTCAGCCCATACCCTTACGAATTCAAACAGCCAAACATACCGAATGATCATCTCCGCCGCCTCGCTCGCACTCGTCACCACCGCCCTCTTAAGCTTATAACTCTCCGTAACGCCCAGCTCCTTCATACTCCCAATCGTGCCAAGCTCCATATCCAGCCCCGCGTCCTTCTTCCCCTCATAATGCGCCGCCCGCAGCTGGCTCACAAGCTCACTACTATCAAACCCGGCATTATCCGCCAAAATCGTCGGAATCTGCCTCAACGCGCGCCCGAAAGCTTCGGTGGCCAACGCGCGCTTGCCCGCGACGCCCTTGGCTGCGGAGTCGACCGCGACGGACATGAGCATCTCCGCGCACCCGCCGCCGAGCACCACGCGCGTCTCTTTGACCGTCTGCGAGAGCACGGAGAGCGCATCGTGTAACGAGCGCTCCGCCTCATCCACCATCTGATTCGTGCTCCCCCTCAACACGACCGTACACGCCTCGCCCGCCGCGACGCCGCTGAACTTGATCAGCTTGTCCTCGCCGATGATCACCTCCTCTATCAGCTCGCACTTGCCGAGCTTCACGAGATCGGGCCGCTCGAACGTCGACGCGATCTCGCCGCCCGTGACGAGCGAGAGGCGCTCGACGCCCTCGAAGTCCGCGTGCTCGATCACGCAGATGCCGCGCTCGGTGAGGAGGGACTCGGGGTAGTTGTAGACGAGTTGGCGGTTGACGAAGACGTTTATGCCGTGTGCGGCGATCGCGTCCACTTTTGCCTTCATCTTTTCCTGTAGGGCCATAACATATCAGATACGAAAGGCGGGAGATGCAGAGAGAGATTGTACGAACGCGTTCGGCACGCTCCAGCTCGGCGAGCTTTCCCGTACCGTCCACCTTTACCCGTGCGCCGAAGATCTTGATCTTGTCGGTGTCCATGGCTAAACGTGAGAGCCAGTATGAGTGAATGATAACAAGGACTGCCGCGTAAACTACGCACAGGTATTTGCGATCAAGATCTTCGCGTTCTCCACGCGTTTAGGGCTGCCGACGCCGATCGTTTTGTCAAGGATAAAGCCTATGCACACCCGCGTCAACAACACTTCATATCGCCACGCCTATGAAAGTCCCGCTCGAGGTCTACTCGCGGGATCTCCCAAGAACCGTGTGCGCGTGATGACGATGAACGTACCCTCGTCAAGGTAAGAATCCGTGAGCTTTCCGCCGACCTTCTTGATGATCTGAATGTGCTCGAGGTCGGTACTCCCGCGCAGACGAAGGACAGCGTCGACGGCGAGGTTGGCAAAGTAGTCCTTGTCCTGGCTCAGCACTTTGCTGCTCAGCGTCGTGCGCGCGATGTTCATCAGGTCTTGGCGGAAGCGTTCTTGGTTGGTACTACACGTATATAAGCACGTGACAATCAATGCATTGAGGTGAGGAGGAAGAGGGGTGTAGTAGCGATTAGACGACGAACGCACCCATGGTTCTCAGCCGCGCCCTCGAGCGCCTCCAGCGCCGCCTTACTCGCAATCCTATACCCCTCCACAATAACCTGCGGATGAATCTTCATCGCAACCAGCTTCTCCGCCTCCCTCAACAGCTCCGCACTAAGCACGCACACGCTCGTCGTCCCGTCCCCGACCTCGTCGTCCTGCACTTTACTAATATTCACCAATATCTTCGCGGCCGCGTTGTCGAGCTGCACGGCCTTGAGGATCGTGGCGCCGTCGTTGGTCACGTTGATGTCGCCCGTGGAGCCAGATTGGAGGATCTTGTTCATCCCTTTTGGCCCGAGCGTCGATTTGACGAGGTCGCCGAGCGCGAGCGCGCCGACGAAGGACGCGAGGCGCGCGTTTTCGGCTTTCTCCTCCGTCGCCTGATCGGCCGTCAGTTTGTTGGGACTACTTGGGAGGATATTGGGGTGGGCACCTCGTTTCCGAAGATGTTCATCGACATGGCTGGGTGATGAACGGTAGAGGTCAAGAGTGAAGAGTGCAAACGCGCGATTGATGGAAGACGCGTCGCGCGCGCGAAGCGAGGCGCGCATCTTTCTCATCGCGGGAAAAACGCGTCAGACGCGGGTTTGGCCCGACGCGTAAAAGACGCGTCTTTGCTTTCGACGATCATGGCGAGCTACAACGCCGCTCCTGAGCTCTCGCAGGCCAAGCTGGCTTCTATCTCTTATCTTGACTCTTGTATACCGCCTGAAGGAGCTACTCTATCTCCGAGTCGCGTACCGGAGTTAGATCACGAGCTTTTGGTACTGGAAGAACAGATCTTGCTGGCGAGGAGAAGGCGCAACGCGCACGTCTCGGGATTGTACAAACTTCCGCCTGAAGTACTCGCAATTATCTGCATCAACCTAAAGCACGTGTGGTTAGACGACTTTGGGCCACGCCTCTTAGAGGACGAAGATGAGCCTGACGTCGATCCGGTGTACGTGCTCGGCTGGCTCAATATCACACATGTTTGTAACAGACTCAGAGAGGTGCGTATCAATGTTATACGTGTCTTCTTTGATATTTAATCTGATTCGCATCCTGTTTGCATCAGGTCGCTCTTCAATTGCCGTCCCTCTGGTGTGACGTTGAATGTCACCGCTATCCTTCAGGCTTCAGGACAGCGTTCGAGTCACGCTCGGGCGATCTGCCGTTGAGATATTCATTTGATTATGACGAACTTGAACTTGGCCAAGAGTTCGACCAATTTGAGAGTCGTGGGCACTGGACGCGGCAATGGCTTACGCCCACCGCATGCAACCGACTTCATTGCCTCGAGATAATCAGCCACCCCTTCTTCAACCTTGGGGACATAGCCGCAAATTTTCCCGTCTTACCCTTCGTGACTGATTGCACGTTGGTCTCCGAGTGCCTTGAGGACCCTGTGTACTTTGACCACGAGGAAGTCGACCTCCCTTTCGCATCTCCGGAGCAACTATCTCGCCTCGTCTTACGTGGAGTGTTTCCCTCGCCTTCGAACCTAGTCTTTTCATCATCCATTACCCATCTTACATTGGAAGCAAGACAGAAGCCGCATATCCCGACTATTGAGAAACTACTTGACATGCTGTCGCCATTGTTGCAGCTTCAATATCTACGCCTCGATCGCGTTCCAACCGAACCTGCCCAGCTGGCGACCACGACCCACCTCCCGCTCCCGAAAGCCTTTCGCCGGCTGGAATACCTTGGATGGATGGTCCCCTTCATTGACCTCTTATCCCGTATTGTGCTTCCCCCTAGCTGTACAATCAACTTCAAAGAAGACGACCTGTATCGACGCCCTGAAGGAGCAGGAAAAGGTGCCGCTGACTTTGCGCGCCTCGTACATACCGTACGCGCGGCTGTGGCCGTTCCCGATGACACACCATGGACCGCTTTGCTTGACTCTTCCGCAGTAAACATTATATTCGGAGAGGACCGATCGCCTCGACAATACAGTTCACCGGCAGACATGCCGTCTGCTGCCCGCTCGAGCTCTGGCGACATCCTCACCTCCCTTGCGTATTCTCACAGTCTTCCGCGCACGCACGGACATATCGCCAGTATCTTAGACGAGCTACCACTAGCTCATCTCACTTCGCTTGGCATTGGCTGGGTAGACGACTGCCCAGATCATGACACTCCTGAATGCCACCTCGATGTAGTATTTGAAAAGGTCCGAGCCACGGCGCCCAATATCCGGCATCTGGGACTACAATCGATGCCGCATGCATTGGACGTTCTCAAGGAGCTCGCCAAAACGCATGTGCTAGACGATTCCTCCACCATCCCTTCCACCTTCCCTTCCCTACAAGCCATCACCTTTGGCGTCGACACGTACGTTTCGGAAGAGGACATTGCGTTGGTGCAAGAAGCGCTAACTGCTGTCGTGGACACTTACAAGCTCTGCCAGCGCCCGCTGCACGAGCTGCGTATACAACGGCAGTTTCGGTCGCTCTGTCCATGGGAGGCCGCGATTGGAACGAGCGTTGTGTTTGTTTAAACTTCACACGGCTTGCGGGCATCTGATGGGCCGTTCGTGTTCAAACACCGTTCAAAAGGATGCTATCGGGGTGCCGGGGGCTCTGATCAGGAGATGCGGCGGAGCGACAGTGTAGTTACCTCAGCGATGCGATTGTCTTGAGCACTTGGCAGAGTTTCTAATCATATCGTATCGTGTATACAATACATGTGGGACTTAAATGCTTTGTGAATGTATTACGCCTTGCTGACGGTTCCGATATCTTGAGCAGTCTTTCGTGCGAGTAGATCAACAGCCTGAGCACGGGATAACCACGGTGTCCGTCATCTTTTGTTAGCATGATGTGAGTGCGTGGAGAGTAGAGCGCAACAGGTACGAGCAGTATGCTTGAGGCTGGTGTTCATCACGGCAAATGCCGAACTGTGAAACACATCACAAATCCGCCCGTTTCAACCTGTTCCCCAACCACCATGTCGTCATCTGAGAGCAACAACGATGAGCTTGCGCATGCAAAGGCCACCTGGCTCTCCGTACTTGATGCTCGTATCCCACCAGAAGGCCATATACTATCCCCCGACAGTGCTGGGAAAGTCGATGACGAAATGAAACTGCTGGACGAAATCACCGTAATAGCGAAGAGACGGCGCAATGGGCACGTCTCCTGGCTGTGCAGGCTACCCGTGGAGGTCATCGCCTTAATTCTCACCGAAGTCAAAGGAAGCTGGGAGCCAGGAATGATCGGGCGCCCGCCGCCGTCGACCAGTACAGATCTGCGTGAACATGACGTTTTTTGGGGCCTGGAGGCTAAGCTGCCTTTAAGCGAGAGCCGCAAGGCGACGCACGACAGACTTGGCTGGTTGAATGTGACCTTTGTATGCACTATGCTGAGAAAGGTGCCAGTCTATCCTCCCTTTCGCACGCTTTACTGACAGACCATGTTATGCCGTCAGGTCGCCCTGGCTTTGCCATCGCTATGGTGCGACATCAACTGTCACACCTACGCGCTACCCTTTCAACAAATCTTTGAGAAGCGCTCAGCTGGGCAACCTCTTCGACTGCTTTTGAAGTTTTGTGCGGACGATGTCTCGATCGCGTGGGCCCAAAAGTGGCTCACATCCTCAACCTGCCCCCGTCTTCACGGACTCGAGGTCTCAGATTGCTCGGCGACTACATTTGTGGATCTCATGGCATCCCTGCCTATCTTACCCAACCTGACCGACATCTCATTGAGTCTCCTCCGCCTGCCACCGGGTGTGGACATGAAGTTTCCCCTCGCCTCGCCGCAACAGCTCTCGCATCTCAGCTTCAGGGACTGCTTCCCCATCCCGCCAAACCCCGTCTACTCCCCTCGTCTCACTCACCTGACATTATCCTCGTCGTTGTGGGCGAATCACACCCGTGTTCCCTCGATCAAGGACCTGATCAACATATTATCATCCGCGACCGGACTCGAGCACTTGCGGCTAGAACACGTCCCGAAGGCGCGCCTTCGAAAACACGAGCGGCCACCGCCTTACGGCTTCCCGCTCCCGTCGTCTTTTCGGAAGCTGGAATGTCTCGTGAGCGAAGACGTCGTCCCGGCGACCGACTTCTTAAATTGCGTCCAGATCCCCTATGGCGTCGAAGTGGTCTTGGAGACGGATAGTCTCTCCGACAAAAGCGAGCACTGCATGGTCGGCATCAGTGACTTTGCCCGTCTCGTAGACGTCGCGTTCAAGGCTTCCCAATCGACGCACGACTCGCCGTGGAGTTTGGTCCTAACACTTCGCGAAGCATACTTGCTGCGTGGAGACAAGAAGTTCATCCCGGGAGTACGCTCACTGGCGGATCTCAATCCGAGGATGATCTCTGCCAGGAGCGGCATGTTGACACGGGCTACTCGTCCTTTGGGAAGCGAGCTGACCGATGGAGACCTCAACGGCCTCTTTCAACTCCTCCCCGTTGAGAACCTTACTTCCCTAACCATCAGCGAGGATATGACAGATGCTTTCTTTGCGGATGATTTCTCATTCTTGACTCAGTCGGTCAACAGAGTGTTCGCCGCGCCTGCAGTCCGTCACCTCACCGTGGAATTGACTGCAAATACCACACATATTTTTGCCAAACTGGCCCAAACTCACGTCGAGGACGCACGCAATAACGCGGTCGTATTCCCATTCCTCAAAACGATTGGTATCATCGTTGGGTCCAACGCTCCAGTGGAGTCGGACGATAATTCGCACTTGCAAGAAAGTCTCGCGCCGGTCTTTGCCGCAATGGCGGCAGCCGTGAATGCACGCCAGCACTGCAGCGTCCCGATAGATGAGCTACGTGTTGATCGTGAGCTCCGAACCTTCTACGCATGGGAGTCTGTGACCGGAGCGAGGGTCGTCATGGTCTAGACGGAGTCTACTGACGCAGGATCGTGATCGGGGCACGGTCGACGTCCACGACGGGTATAGAGGGAGTTGGCCGAATAGTACTAGCAGCACATGCAAATTAATTGATACGGACCAACATATGGAAATTATTAGTATTGATTAATTTGGAGCGTGATAAGTACTGTAATTTTCAGACCGAATGTTCGGTCGAGATTCGCGTTACGCGTTACGCGCCAGCTTGTTCGGCGACATCACTGTTCGCCGAGCCTCGGCGAGCGTTACATCGAACGAAAGCCCTTCCCCCACCGCACGTCGGCAGCTTTGGCGGGCCTTCCGGCAGCTCGGGCCGAGCACCGGGTAACGAATCCCTGTTCGTTGACCTGCGTTACGCGTTACCCGAACAAGCCGGGAGTTCGCCAGAAGACCCGACGTTACGCGTTACGAACATCAGGTCTGAAAATTACAGTAGTCCGAATCATACCGCCTGAGCCGGGGATTGAGGAAAAGAACTGAGGGAAAGCATGTGAACGGCAGGCGCCGGGTTCGACTCGCACGCCTGTCCGCGCCATCAAAACGGCCCAGGGTTGCTTCCGTCCATCATCATCCTCATGTCGTCCAACGAAGTTATCGACTCTGGCTCTCACTGGAAAGAGAAGCCTCGCCTTGCCTGGGCTGGATTTATTGCATCTCGTTTCCAGACCGAACACCGCCTAGACGAGTTGGATTACGAGCTTGAGCTCTTGCAAGAGTTTTCTGTACAGGCGAGGGCGCAACGAAACGCGCTTACCGCGATCTCTAAACTTCCTACCGAGATCATCTGCCATATATTTGGCTTATTGTGTCAAAACTGGGCTCCTCGGAGCAGGTGGGAGGGTGCTTCGAATGACGGCGATTCCGAAGTTGCCGGCTATCCAAATCGTCGGGGAATCGGGTATGATCTAGGATGGATGAAAGTCAGCCACGTCTGCGCCTCATGGAGAAGGGTACGCAAGCCTTTCTCCAGCATCTATTGAGTGTCTTGCTGACACCAACTTGACGTGCAGATTGCTCTTTCTACTCCCTCACTCTGGTGTGATATCCACTGCGCAAGTCTCGCTCCGGGCATAAGAAAGGCTGTCATTGGACGGTCCTCGGATCGACCTTTGAACATGAAGCTTGATTATTCAAGAGGCCCTACCCACCTGAGTGCCGCTGAATGGAGCGCCATGTGGTTAGACATCCAGACGTCTACAATCCCTGTACCTGGTTAACTTTCCCAACTCGAATGTTGAGCTGAACTTGACTCTACGTCACCTTAATTCGATGTCAAGCCTCGTCGAGTTTGGTCTAGAACGAGAACAGGCATCGGATGAAGACGATGTACTTCTTGAGATGCCTGCACATCTTCCAGGCTTTTCTCCGAACTTATCCCGTGTTACTCTCCTCAACTGCTTGCCTCCACTCTCGTCGCCGATCTTCTCGCACTCTCTCATCTATCTATCTCTCAAGGTGTCTTTCGACCAGTCGTACGGACTGATTCCCACCACTGAAGACCTACTCGAATTATTGTTCGGTTTGAGGGAGCTACGAGAACTACATCTAGCTCTTCTCCCCGTGCCGCGCTCACTTGACGGATCCCCCTTACAATTCCAACCTGATGGGCGGCTCTGCGTTCTTCCGACATATTTTCGTTGCCTTGATTACAGTGTGTCCGATTATAACGACAGCCTTCTCTCGGCCATCGATCTCATATCGCGGGTCAGTCTTCCGCGCGACGCAGAGATATCGATGCTGGTGGACCAGGACACGAGTGATGAGGGAGACGACACCGTCTTTTTCCGCCTCATCAACTCCATATTCCAAGCCGTCGACATGCAGCGCTATCCGTGGGCGATACAGATAGATCACTGGGACGTGCACATTGGATTATGCATAGGATCATCGGACATACGTAGTGAAGCGCCGGCGAATATCGGACATGCTCCTGTCTTTTGCGTCGACCATTCGACTATCAAAATCGAACGAAACGACTCGAATAGCAAAAGCGTGATACACGCACTCTACTCCCTCCCTCTAGTGAATCTCACCTGTCTCCACTTATGTTGGGCGGCTGCCGCAATCTACTTCCCTGCGAATGGCTCTGCCCACGAAGCTCTGGCTACTGCGCGCGCCATCAGGCATATAACCATACACCCTCCAAACCGCTCATCATTCTTCGAAGAGCTCTGTCGTGTTTACACGGACGATCACACGACGACGTTCACCCTCTTTCCATATCTCGATACCCTCACCATAATGGGGACCACGAGCGCATTGCACACCATACGCGGCCTGCCTGATCCTGCAAGCAGTAATGCGATGAGGATTCAGATCCAAACGTCATTCTCAAGCCTTGGCACTGCAATGGCCCTGCGTCAACGTCACGCAACGCCCATCCATAAGGTCTACGTTGAGAGACTGTACGAAGAACTGTGCGATTGGGAATCTCATGACTCGGAGGAGCTCAAGAAGGTGGTATTCTTTGATAAATAGGCGCTCCATGGGCCCATTAGTGTACCTAGTTCAGCAATGTAGTCTGTCAATGAGCTGTATCGTCATAATAGTTCTACGAGTGTCTTTTTCCGCATGTGTGTGATACCAGGGGTTCGAATGTGTAAGCTGAAGGCTAGCGCCGCGGCAGCGTTCGCGCCGTTCCGGGCCGCTCGCTCCATCATCGTCGTGCGACATGATGTTCGCACCGTGGGTTGCGTCCGTCCACCATCGTCCACATGTCGTCTCACGAGTACATTGATCCAATCCAGGCAGACCAGGCCCGTCTGGCATGGGATGGCTTCATGACATCTCGATTTCAGTCCGGGCGCGGTGTACGCCTCAACGAACTAGATCACGAACTCAAGCTCTTGGAAGAGTTCTCCGTGCGCGCCAAGGCGCAACGCAACGCGCACGTCGGACCCTGCAAACTCCCCAACGAGATACTCTGCCACATATTTGGCTTGTTGTGCCAGACATGGCCTCCGCACAAAACGCGGGACGCCGGGTCTACCTCAAAGTCCAATCGGTACAATGACGGAGAAGTCGCGTACGACCATGCCTGGATCAAGATAACCCATGTCTGCAGCCTTTGGAGAAGGGTGAGACGATACTATCGTAGTGCCGTGTATATTTCTAACACTTGTTCCTGATTGTAGGTGGCGCTGTCTACGCCTTCCCTCTGGTGCGATGTTGACTGCGCGAACCTCGCCCCGGGTTTCAGGGAGACCGTACTCGAACGATCGGTTGACCAACCGATATCTCTAAGGATAGACTACAATGACTGTCCTGGGCATTTGAGTGCGGCAGGATGGACACAGCTGTGGACGGAAAGGCGTACTTGCAAACGACTTCGGTCGCTGGAACTACTCAACATCCAACCCGACGGGGGTGAAGATCTTCACGGGATCTTGCATCACTTGCAGGCAATGCCCTCTCTGGAAGAGATAAACATCACTAGACTTTCACCGTACGACAACGACAGTGAGCCCTTGCCCATACGCGCACACCTCCCGGAGGCTTCAAGCATCGCTCGCGTCTGTTTTGGCGACTGCCTACCTCCTCTCTCATCACCTATTTTCTCCCGTGCTCTCACGCACTTGACCCTCAAGATATCTGATTTTCAGACACCTGAACTGGTGCCAACTCCAGACGATATGCTTAATCTACTAGCATCATTGAACTCGCTGCAAGAGCTTCAACTAGCACAGCTACCGGTATCGCCCCCGCAGGAGCCCCCGTCAGAACACATGGATCGCCATACCCTCACATTGCCAGCTTGTTTTGGGGTATTGGCTTACAGGGTCAATGACCATAACGGCAGTCTTGCATCGGCTATCGAATTCATCCCACGTCTTAGGATACCCCGTCATTCGGCAATCCAGATAGAAATGATTCAGGAGAACGAGAACGAGGATGAAGAAGATGACGCGAGATTCGTCCGCGTCGTCAGCGCTGTAGTCCAAAGCATCGACATGCAAGACTGCGCATTCGCACTCCTTATCGACAAGTGGGACTTGTCCATCGGGTTCGGCGACGGCGAGTTAGAGCCGTTGGAAACTGGTTCCGAGTGGCCATTCATACTTATCGAAAGGATCGAAGGTCACGGTGGGAACGTCATGGGTGTTCTTGATGTGCTTCCACTGGCAAACCTCACCTTCCTCACATTAGCGTCGTGGTGCCTCGACCACTTCTTTCCCCCCGGTCAGCCCTCACCAGCCGCCCTCCTCGCCGCTCGTGGCGTCCGCCACATCGCAATACAGGTCCCAAACAAACTCGAAACTTCCTTCTTCGAAGCGCTCTGTCAAACTAGTGCGGATCAATCCGCGGCGACCATGCTACTCTTTCCGGCACTTGAGACCATCACCGTCCACTGGCGCAAAGCCATGGACAAATACCTTACCACTACCAACGGCAAGCCGGACATACTGCAAACACTGTTCTCGGGTATCGACGTCGCGTTGGCCACGCGTGAACTTCATGGGACACCCATACGCGAAGTCCGCGTTGACCGGCGGTTCAAAACCTACTACAGCTGGAAGGTGAAAGCACCGATATCGCTGTTTGATCAGGACCCGGAGGCGTTGGTATCACGAGGATCTGCGAATGATGACGGGGTTCTCATACCGAATAGCCTCATGATATAAGCTACATACTCTGACATTGTCCGAGTCGTAGCATCTTCGACTGCATTTGCCAAGATAATGAATAGTACGGTTTACTTACTGCGGCAGCAATTGCCCCTCCCATGCGTGCATGGGTATTCTCGTCTGAGACTGAACATTTCAGAGTCCTGTCGGTTGCCGTCATGGGAACTCATCGAGAGACTCAAGTTGAGGCCTGACTATCAGTGACCAGTCAATGACCGCCACAACTCTGGTCTATCATACCCACGACGGTCTCAGCACCCTACGGCGTGATAGCCGCAGGGGAGCATCGCTGTATGTTTCCCACAACGTGAAGAGCGCATACGGAGCATGATCATATTTTGCAGAAAGAGAAGACAGAGGAATGATGGTCAACATGTGCGCCCTAGTGCGGAGTGGTACAGATGAAGTGTGACAAGTCCAGAACGACCCGAGCGGAACGTCTAGTCCGAGGCGGACTGGACGGGGAACTCGAAGGTGACGTGCTTGCCGGTGAGACGGTTGTAGACCGAGGCAAACGAGTCGAGCTTGTACTCGAGCGAGGTGGCGTCCTTCGAGTCGAGGAAGCTGTGGAAGATAACATCAATGATGAGAAAGAAGTAGGGGTATAATGAATAGGCGACGTACACCTTGAGGAGTTTTGAGCCGTCGGTCGAGACGCGGGTGCGCTTGCCAGTGATCTCGGAGGGGAAGACGAGGTCCTCGAGGATGCGGTCGTGAACAGAGGTGAGGGTGCGCGAACGCGGGCGCTTCTGCTGCACACGCGAGTTGCGCGTGGGCTTGGGGAGCACACGGCGCTGGGCAACAAATACGACGTGACGGTCGGAGAACTTCTTCTCGAGCTCACGCGTCAAGCTAAGGGTCAAATCAATATAATATGTCGATAATATACGATGAAGACGCACCGCTGCTGGACCTTGTGGAAGGCCTTGAGCTGGGGTACGGGCACAAAGATGACGATCGCCTTCTTTCCACCACGGACATCGACCTCGCGCGCGGCGGAGATCTGGAGGGGGCGGAGCTCGGCCTTGAGCTCGGGCGCGGAGGCCTCGAGATCGAGCAGAGCCTGTGCGACGGCGGTCTCGACCTCGTCGGGCGGGCTCTGGGGCGCGTTGGCCGTGCGGAAGATCTTATTCTGGAGAGACATCCTTTTTGGCGCGGGGTGGTGGACGGAAGGAAGGGAGGGTTATGTCTTGAGGGCCGGGTCCTGTGATTCGCCGTCAGTGCCTCATCCGACATGCACACATGCAATCCAGCCAGTATCGCTGCCATTTCGACCAGCAGAGGTCCAGCATAGCGACGGCATGGACCACGGACGGCGATGGGGCACACGTACCAGGGGCGCTGTCGTCCGTGAGCTCGTCGTCGGGCGCGATGAGGTCGCGAGCGTCGATTCGGATGGCTGGTGATTACGTAACGCGCGCTCACTTGGACTTCGCTTCGCGTCAGGCGCGTCTCGCTTTCGAACCACCACCTGGCTCTGCCTATGATCGTCCCAGTCATTCGCACCTCTTTTCAGCTCAAACATATAACTCCGTTGGCGGGCAGCCACTCGGGCTTTCGCTAAGCACTATCGCAGCAACCGTGCGCAGCGTGAGGCTTCCATAGTGAATGCATCACTGCAAGTCCTCTACAAATTGAATCCACAACGTCTAACGATGTGTATCTTGGTATTGTCTCGAGTCTAGTGAAGTAGTCGTGCGAGTCAGGTCTGGGGAGCGTACTGTCACAAGGACCAATGGGTCAGAGTAAGGCTTGGCGCACAGCTCTACGTGCCACAATGCCATCGATTGCTACCCTCAGTCACCGTTGGCCAATTGCGGCCTCATGTTTTCATACCCTATTCAACGAGAGCACGTAGACTAATACAAATAGTCCCTCGATCACCGAAACGACCGAAGCAACCCTTCAACTTACAGCACGTCCAACTCTAGGATAGCACAGCCTTCAACGTTCCAAGCTTCGTCGAGTGGGAATATGACAGCGCTTTGTGCGTTTTCCTGCTTTACAGACCCTGTGGCACGACCTTCGCGCACAGCTCTTCAATACGCATAACCGAGGTCGCCGCGCGCCCAACAGTACAGGATCGGCTTGCTCGGGCATGTAGGGATAACCAATTCTTCATGTCCTCGGACACGTCGGGAAGACATCTGTGCATATAAGGCTGTATGATTGCTGACCATCTAGCAGCATACTCATACATCCTTCTCTTCATCTCCTTTGCTTCTAACGATGATCCAGCTCTTCCGTACGCTCCTCAGTCTCGGACTTCTCGCCTCTGCCTCCGCGTGCAAGACGTGGTCGGTCAACGTCGGCAACGAGACGGGCGCCGCGCTCTTTGACCCGATATCACTCGTGAGTTCGACAGTCTATCGCTCCCTAGATATCTAGTGCTTACAAGACATTGTCAACAGAGCGGAGTCGCCTCGGGAGATGTTGTTACCTTCCACTTCAACCCGAAGAACCATACAGTCACCCAGTCAAGCTTCGCTCAGCCTTGCCGTCCGCTTCCTGGCGGCTTCGACACTGGGTTGTACGTGGATAACTTCCATGTGTCCCTGATCAGCCATAGAACTGACGTGCGATAGCAACAACCCCGTATCGATCGGTGCTCCTCTCTCCGGCCGCCCCACCTTCAACTTCACCGTGAACGGGGTACGCCTCACACTCTCGTCACCGCCCTCACATCCATCCTCACATACCCCCAGACAGGACCAGTATGGGTCTACTGCCGTCAAGCCCAGTTCACCAATGTCAGCCACTGCGGCCAAGACATGGTCTTCGCCATCAACCCCGACGCGCCCAACACAGGCATGAACCGCACACTCGACACGTTCCGCAAGAACGCGCTCGTCGAAGCCTTCGCCGATCTCTTATTCGGCAACATCACCACCACGACTTCGACGTCTGCATCCCACACGTACGCAACAGCCTCGGCTAGCGAGTCGTGTTCGACTCCCTACGCGGGCTCGCTCGCCGCTGCCGTCGGCACTACTAGCAATGGCGGATCCGACTCGGATGCGGCGCTGCTGAACAAGGTGAATAGCCTCGCACCGGTCGTGTTTGGGCTGTTGGGCGGTATACTCGTCGTGATGCTTGCCATTCTGGGCGTGGGCATTGCGATGTGCGTTAAGCGCGGGGCTACGGTCCGGCAGGTTAACCCTAACTACGTGCCTGTGCGCCGTCATGAGCACGTGAGCTTCCCTGAGGGTGGACAGTATACGGATGCTCCTGCGTTCAAGTATGATGCTTGAGCTTCGTGGTGATACGGGTTTGGTTTGTTGTATCATTTGTCTTCGGACGGACTATTGTGAATGCTCATGTACCTGGGAGAGACACTTGCATTGATTGTAATCGCCTACAGATTCGTGGGCTTCGGCGGACTCGGAGTTACTTACTCGGCCATGTACACAACAATAACTGCGTTATGATCGCGTGTTAATGGCAACTACAGGATTCGTGTAATGTACAGCGTGCTTCTACGAGTCCGCCTTCATGCCGTCTATCCCTTGCCCTGATGCCCTGATGAACCCTTTCCAAAAGTAAAAAAAACCTAGTGAGTGAACCTAGATCTTCCGCCACCTACGGTATTCTGATGTGGGTCGGCCCAGTTGTGGTCTCATTCGACATATCGAGCCTGGGCGGCCTGATGTTTTCTAGGAATACCTGACCCAAGCTCCTCGTCGAGGTGGGAATCGAAGGTAGTAACAGGCATTCTTCGACGGCACGGACAGCATCGTCTATGATGGTCGTACTTGGCTTTTTTGCCGATGAAAAAACATCAGTCACAAGCCGCAGCATCTCATCAATGATGAAAGATGGGAGGCGACGGAGGGGTCGAGCAGTGCCGACGGTGTCTGTCCAAAGTATGTCGCGCAAGCGGGCGACGAGGCCAGCTTGAAAATCGTGTGCATCACAACGAGCCTTCCAATGCGCAATCACCACTCGAAATGTTCCCAGATAGAGCTCTTTATTCTCCAGTGTTTGCCTTACAGGTGAAGATCGCAATTCAAGAAAGAGTAGGTCCAGAGCATACAGACTTCCGCCATGCTCCGCCGCAAGATCTTCCAACCGCCAAAGCTGTTCCCGAAAGGGGTGGTTGCTCCCTTCTCGGCCAGCTGCGACTGAGCTCATGCGTCGGCACATGTCATCTCCGAACAATTCTGCCGGACTCAGATCCACGAGTTTGGGTTTTGGGAGGTACCATTCCCATGCGGCTGACCGCATATCCTGCAAACTCCAGGCAGTCCCGGCCAGACGTCGAACCATTGTAAGAGGTAACAGAAAGTGCGGTATCAAAGCGCCTGATACTCCATACGTATCATGCGGACGAACTGAAGGTGCAGTTGCGATGCTGGCACTTGGCAAAAGCATGAGCAGGCCTTCTGTGACCTCCGACAGGATCTCCACTGCTGAACGCATAGCATCATCCGCCGGTTTAGCCCAACCCATGATGTTCCAGCAGTACTCCAGTTCAGCGATGTTCTCCCCATGTTCTTCACGAACCTCCATCAAACCTTCCTCTGAAGCATTGGTCGTGTCGAGCGTATCATGTAAGACACGTCCAGCATCCCAAGCCTTCTTCACAAGTTTATCGAACAAGGCAGTGCATTTCATCGCCGCAGCATGGATGTTTGTCATCGGCTCTGCAGAAGCAAAGGCAAACTCATTGATCGCGCGACCAGCAGACTCGCGTACACGCACATCTTGAATCGATGCATGGACTATCAGAATCGACATGCAAATCCAGTATGGTCGAAAGGTGTGATCTGCGAGAGGTCGCACGTCTTGACCTTTGACAGCAGGATGGCTGGAAGCATCTGCTAGGTAATGAAGTGCCTGGACCATGGTGCTTCTGTCAGGATTCCATTGACTCTCACCCTCTTTCATATACAATGTGAGTGACAATATTGCCTCGATACAAGTCCGACAGCGTCGGCGGCGCGCAGCAGGTTCAAGAACACCGGGGTCAATGCAAGTGCGAAGTAACAGAGTAACACGTTCTCTCAGATCGAACACAGCACTTGTGGAACTTATAAGTGCACTGGTGTCAGACTCCGCATTTGCGCCAACCATCGTCATGAGCGGCACATTCTGCCCCATTGTCATGAGGGCCACCTCCCGCCAAACGGCCCTACCCCATTTCGTACCGAGCGAACCAGGAATTCCGTGCAGGAAAGGCTCTAGTTCAACATTTGTAAGGTTATTGACTAGCCAGCACACCGCACTACCATCCCGTTTGCGGCGACGGTCGCATTCATCCATAGCAAGCTGAGCGCACCCATCCAGCATATTGCAGCTGATCGAGCGTCCAGGGCCTTTTGGGTTGAGGTTTCGTCGCGTGCTTTCGCGAACGCGTTGCACAAGATACCACAAGGGTCCGGAGAAGGGCGATCGGTACGGCGATTGTGCGTCAATGACATGAGAGACCGTCAGACATATATATATCGTGCCGGCCAGGGCGACTGGGGAAACGATAGTCAAGGACACCACCCTATTGATCTGCCAGAGCATGTCACACAAGCCGATGAAGAACAAAAATACAGCCGAGTGCAATAATATGGGTATAAGATCCAGCATGACTGCTAGTTTGAAAGCTTCCGCGCCTTCGAAGAAGTAGTGGCGTATGCGTGCTCGTCTGAGGTCTGAGGCCTGACGCTGATAGATACGCGTGTAATCTCTCGCCCACTGTTGTATGATGTTCCCTGAAAGGGCAGCGAGTAGGCTGAATACCAAGCTTAGAGACCAGAGCGTGTTCACGCGAACATTGGATGCGGTGGGTGCAAACGTGTCGAGACGGGGTAACGAAGGATCAGGAAGGGTGGACGCATTGACCCCAAGCTGGACCGCTATTGACGTAAGGATGAAGACGGATTGCTGAGCGATGACCTCCGTTTGAGAAGGAGGGTCGGGCTGAAGCGTAGGATAGCTTGACACAAGGAAGGTGGTCACGGCGGCTGAGAATAGACCTGCCTGCAAGTAAAAAATTAGTTAATCCAGAGTATAATAGGCACCCAGCGAGAGGCCGTGGACACTAATAGAAAACGCACGAAGGTCATAACCGTGGCCATCTCCTCTTTCAATCCGACCAGATACCCCTTGTCCCAGGCCTGAGAGATAGTGATCAGCCAAAGGCTGGTATAGAGGAGCTCAATTGCTCACCTCTGCCTTACGTACGTATACGGACCACAACGGCGCCGCTCGCTCATCAAAGTCTCCAGACATGGCCGTAAGTATGACAGACGGGATGCAGAAGATGTAGTACGTCGCGAGAGTCAAGGCAGGCTGGCTCATGCAAGCCTCATTGCAAGGAGGCGCGTCCTTGAACTTTACACCCCGTCGGGATGCCACGCGGCGGAACAACGGCATTCCACCCGTGCTGGCTACTGCTGGCCAGCATACTTTCTGAGGCGACTGCGCTGTGCATTGAGATGACTCAGACATATATCCCCGTCTTCGCGTCATTACATATGTGCATACCTCTTCATGTTCACTCAACATATAGATACATACCCTTGACATCTACCTGTGATAAAGATGATAGGCCAGGTGATGACGATTGAATGGTACATGGTGTACGGGACGAGAAACAGGTTCGCGTGCAGCGAAAGCGCCGGCGGCCGCGCCACACGCTGCACGTCGACGGCCGCGGACGCGTCTTCGGACTTCGCGACCGAACCACCATGAGCGTCTCTGGTTTTACGCCGTCTCTACTATCAGTAGGATGTGGGGATAACACAAGAACATAGTCGACATTGTCCCCAGGACGTAGGGACGGATTTGGCACGAAATGGACACCCGTGTGTGTGCAGAAGCTGGAGCCTCGTCTCATGACGAGCGTGCAGCTCTTCGAGCGGGACGAATGAGCGCTCCTCACGCGTATATATAGCGATGTCTGTGGTACAGTCCTCCATAGCTGACCTCGTTGTGAGAACAAGTCTGCTAGCCATGTTCACTCTCAGTCCCTGACTATGGTGTCCAGCGCAACTCCGGGACCCTGCGCGGGGGCCGCCGGACTGAGATGCCAGAACCCGTCCACCGGCCGCGCACTCTGTATGATAAGATATGGGATGATCATGTAGTGTGCGTGGTCATTCTCAGAACAAATATGTACAGGAGCTTATACTTTTATAGTGATCAGCAGGAAGATGGACTGGCGCTCCTTTACATCGACAGGTGCGTATGGCTATCGTTCATCTCGTCGACTTGCACTGAGCACTCATAGGCACCTCGTCTTTGAAGTATCTAGCCCTCAAGCGTTTGATGGTCTGTGCGTACAGTCTACTCTCATGCGTCTATGCACACTCTGACTGGGTTTCATAGGCGTGCCGCCGGACGTGCAGTTCGGCGTACAGACTGTACTCTCGCGACAGTCGACCATAATGTCCCGTGCGTTGAGCGCCGCTTTACTATTGGCATCGGGCACTGAGCTGCTTGTGTGCTAGTACGGCCAGCCGCAAGAACTTCACCTCAGCGAGCACGTTCATTGAGGAGCCGGACTCGCGTGCACAAGTGATGGCTCTGGAGGAGAACGTGAAAGAGTTCGGCTTGACGTACTTTGGCCTGTCGGATCGTCGTCAGGGTGCGTCTTGTCGCGGCTGAGATTCTCGTAGTGGCGTGTACTGACGTCGCGATATAGGCATTGTGCACATCATCGGACCCGAACAAGGATTCACTCTGCCTGGCATCACCTGCGTAGCTGGTGATTCGCACACATCGAGTACGCCCCTCGCAGACGCGCTCACAGGCGGAGAAACTGATCCTATTCTTAGCTCATGGCGCCTTTGGCTCTCTTGCTTTTGGAATCGGTACATCCGAAGTCGAGCACGTTCTCGCAACGCAGACCCTCCTCCAAAAGAAAGCCAAGAACATGCGCATCACCGTCGAAGGCACTCTTCCCGAAGGCGTGAACTCGAAGGACGTGATCCTGCACATCATCGGCGTCATCGGCACAGCAGGCGGTACGGGCGCCGTCATCGAATACGCGGGCTCGATCTTCCGCGGTTTCAGCATGGAAGCGCGTATGAGCGTCTGCAACATGAGCATTGAAGCGGGCGCTCGTGCGGGTATGGTCGCGCCGGACGAGACTACGTTTGAGTATCTCAAGGGCCGACCGCTCGCGCCGAAAGCAGAAGAGTGGGACCGCGCGGTGGCGTACTGGAAGACGCTCAGGTCGGATGAGGGCGCGAAGTTCGACATTGAGGTCAATATCCGCGCCGAGCATATCATTCCGACCGTGACCTGGGGTACTTCGCCGCAGGACGTCGCACCTATTACCGGCACTGTCCCCAATCCGGCGGACTTCGCCGATCCCGGCAAGCGCGCTGCCGCCGAGCGATCGCTGAAGTACATGGGTCTCAAGCCCGGTACCAAGCTGGAAGACATCACTATCGACAAAGTCTTCATCGGGTCGTGCACGAACAGCCGTATCGAGGACCTGCGCTCTGCCGCCCGGATCGTACTCGCCGCTGGACCCGAAGCCAAGGTCGCCCCGAACGTCTACGCCATGGTCGTCCCCGGCTCCGGTATCATCAAACAGCATGCCGAAGCGGAGGGTCTGGACGTCATATTCAAGCGCGCGGGCTTCGATTGGCGCGAGGCAGGCTGCTCGATGTGCCTGGGTATGAACCCCGACCAGCTCTCTCCCGGGGAACGCTGCGCCAGTACGAGTAATCGGAACTTTGAAGGACGGCAAGGAGCTGGCGGACGGACGCACCTCATCAGCCCTGCCATGGCTGCTGCTGCCGCGATCACGGGCAAGCTTACGGATGTGCGTCGGTTCTTGGGCGTCGACACGAGCCAGGCCTCTGCTCTGAAAGTAACGAAGGAGGCAAAGGAGTTCCTCACAGAAACCGTGCCGCCTCCGCCGGACCCTGCTACCAACACAACGAACCTACCGAAAGCCGACTCACCTTCGCACATGGAGAAGTTCACGATCGTCAAAGGCATCGCCGCGCCGCTCTACATGGAGAACGTCGACACAGACATGATTCTCCCCAAGCAGTTCTTGAAGACCCTCAAACGCACTGGTCTGGCAGATGCACTGTTCCTGCCGTTGCGCAAGGATCCAAAGACCGGAGAACCTACCGACTTCGTGCTCAATTGCGCTCCGTACGATAAGGCGAAGATACTCGTCGTGACTGGCAAGAACTTCGGTTGTGGGAGCTCGCGTGAACATGCGCCGTGGAGTCTGTGGGTGACAAACATCCTATCATCCCACTCTCTACTGATATCATCTCTCAGAAAGGACTTCGGCATCCGCACTATCATCGCGCCCAGCTTTGGCGAGATCTTTTTCTACAACTCCATGCAGAACGGCATGCTACCCGTCTCGCTGTCCGAAGTTGAATGTCGCGCCCTTGCTGAAGACGCAGCCGCTGGTCTTGAGCTTGAGGTCGATCTTGAGAAGGGGGAGGTGCGCCGATCGAATGGCCAGCCACCGATACCCTTCAAGATCGATGCTTTCCGCCGCCATTGCCTGCTCAATGGTCTCGATGACATCGCGTTGACGATGCAGAAGGAGAACTTGATCTCTGAGTTCGAGGCGCGTCGTAGTGAGCGGTGGAGTTGGTTGGACGGGTTTGGATATGAGGGCAAGAAGATCGCTGTCGCCTCAAGTAAGAAGGGCACAAAGATGGATTGGTGAATGATATGAAGTGCAGATGGTTTCCGGAACTGACGAGCCTAGTTTGACTATTATGCAATCAACTGTTTGTACAGACACGTATAGCCCATGCCTTGACTGGTACAGTACATCTGCAATCGCTCTGCATTCCATGAGGCAGCCATCATGTTACTAAGCGAGTTCTGTTGCAGTACAACGCCCAGCGCCTACCCACACATCAATCTCCTGATCATCACATTCTCACAACCCGTTTTGGTAACTTCTCCGGTGGCAGCTTCTGAAGACCCTGTCTCCTACCCCGTGCACAGTCATGAGGTCTTCTCTATTCATTTGCTAACCTCACGACTAGCGCATGTACGCTGTTTGCCTATAGTGAACCGGCATGGCAACGACTCCATTCAGCTTCATTCTCTGTACCTCGACACAAGCATCGCATGGTGGAAGGAGACGTCCATCTGTAAGCGCCACTCCTGGTATTTAAGGTTTGCTCTCATCTAAGGATGTTTGGCGTGGCTGACAACAAGAGAAGAGTACGCTGCAGATCGAAAGACGTGCTCCTTGCACAAGTAGTATCTGTAACTATGAACTTCTAGGGTCCTATCGCAACTCGTACGACCGCACAGACAGCGGATAACGAGGGCGGCCTGAGCGTACCAAGCCCCTTCAAGGTGGTAGGGCCTGTCCTCGTGAGCAGCTCGACAGTACTGTACGCGTCTATGCGCAGCGTTCATATCCGAGTTTCATCCCCAATACGGTGTCCTATCGTGCACGCCCGTACCCTCGATTGGTCCGTCTCGAGTTCTCGGGCCACACCTCGCACGCGCCAAGCTAGTTCCATATGGGAACCGTGGCGGAAGCAGGACAGGCAACTTCTCCGCGTTCGTGCTTCTCTTCGCAAGACATGGAGGTCCGTGCCTGCTATGCGACGTGTATCAGACATACGCAGTGGCCTGAACGGCTCCTACATGGCCGATGCAGAGCTCGCTGTGGTAGCTGATGCTGTAGCACGCCCTGCCGAACACATCCTGGCCAAAACGATAGATGGTACCAGTCCGAGCGCATACTTCCACATCCGACTATCACTCTTATCTCGTATGTAGCGGCCCCAATCTCCATGGTCCACCCGGACCGCCTGCAGATCGACACGCCCCACTGCAAGCAGCGAGCGCCTACGACTTTCCAAGGGTCATCCGATCTCCTCACATGCCCTACACGCTACAGCACTCCTTCACGACTAATCACCCTGATTCCCATACTCGTCTCTTCCTTTGACGGTACCATCACGGCCTCTCAAGATCTCAAAATTTTGCTTCCGGCGTCTTTGAGCTTTCTACAGTTCTACCAAACGTGTCGGATCCTGTTCCCTCCCGCGTCGCAAGTTGCGCAGTTCGTCGGCGTCCGCTCACACACGCGGCGCGCCGTTCAAGGTCACGATGGTTGAATGGAAGATAAGCACAAAGAAAGAGGGCGCAGAGCGTAGAGACCAGCGCGCGAGTCGCTACATGTATGAGACGAACGACTGTCAGCAGATGGCGGGCGGGAGCAAAGCCCAGCGCCACACCCAAAATAATCGGACCCATGTCCACCTACAAGCCACATGCTCATCTCCGATCACTTCCGCCTGCCTCCGTCTTCCGATCAAAAGTCATGATATCAAATGAAAACGCGATCACGTGCGTAATATTGCGCATCGCGCGGGCCAGGGTCGTCAACGCGCGACCCTTTCCTGGCCGATCCCGACGCCCGACGCGCCCATGCACGCAGGTGATCGCAGGCAAAGAGACATCTCGGAAGAGATGTGAGCGATGAGAAGGAGAAGGGCGAAGAAGTTGTGACTTCTCCGCCGCTGGCGGCTATTCGCGTTGGGTGTGGCTTCGCGGGAGGCCAGATGACCGATTTCTTGAGTTGTGGCCCGGGACCGATGCTTCTCTTGCCCCGCAAACCGCGATATGGGCGTCAAGATCTCATACGATGCTGACTGACCCTACACCATGACAATACGAGTGCTGCGTTTGGAAATGAGTTTTGCCTGTACACGTACAACTTCACGATCGTCAACGCTGCATACAGACGTGTGCTCAATGCCCTCGACCGCTCGCCCGCCGACCTCGGTCTAGCTCGCACTCCACAGAGCACAGGTGCTCCACGAGAGAAGCCAAGGGCCATACACGGACACAGGCCCAAGGCCCTAATCCCAATCTACGATCTCTCAACCAGTCTAGCCTAGTCTAGACATGTATGGCGAATCTCACGCAATCGAACCGTAGTGCAACGGAGGTCGCCCAAACGAGCGAGTAAAAAACCGTGCCCACGCGTAAGTTGGGCAGGCGATGGAATGGCAAGTGCGTATACACTACTATACAAGAGACTAGAGAACTAGGCTATGGAGTCATAATGAAAAACGGAGAACGAGGAACAGTGGAACTAGCAGCTAGGCAAACTTTGAGGCAAGAGGGCGATGGTTGAGATGGAGGAGACTTGTGCCGAGAGGGAAGAGGAGGGATATTGTGACCGAGGCGCAGACAGAAGATGAAAGAGGTGTGCAGGACATGGGAATGGGGGTGTATGGGGCAGCAGTGGGATAGGGGAGGGGGACAAGGCACGGCCGGCGGCTCAACGGTGTACATGCTAGCAGCGAGAACTGGATGCTCGGGGACCTGTGGGCGTACAATCTGATAGCGGGCCGGGCTCTATGCCAATTGGGGGATATGGGGTGGGGCGAGAAAAGCTGGTGTCCAAGGCTTGGCGTGCAGCATAGGTAACGTGTGCGGGTGGTATGAAGTGGTATCAGAGGCGGGGTGATTGATGATGAAGTGGTAATCAAAGGAAACGTGCGGAGCACTGAGGTATCGAGAGTCGTCATGGGCATATCGTAGGAGGCGTGCATGGGGTAACAGTAATCAGGAAGTCGGGTGTGGGCATGAGATGGGAAGAGCGGGGGTGTATGTCGGCGTCGGCGTCGGGAGTCCCGCAGTCCGGGCTGGAGCTGGAGCGGGCGATCGGTTGTCCAAGCGCACCGGGGGGCAAATGGGTGGGAGGCTCGAGCGTCAGCGGCGCATCAGAAGCGCCTTTGACGCCCAGCGGGAAGAAAGAGATGCATGCTAGCAGTCGTGCTATGTGCAGCATCCACCGTTGCCCCATCCCTTCGATGCAGAGGTGGCAGCCTTTTCGCGAGCCTCTTCCTCATCGGCCGCAGCAGCCCACGTCGGAGGCTCGATAGGTGTCAGGAAGACGGAATCTCGGCGCTTAGTCTCGTTCGCGGCGTCAATGTCGTCTTTGCGAGCGATGATGGCGCGGATAAGAGTGTCAAAGAGCGTCAGAACACCTGAGAAGGACGAGAAAAGGCGCATCAGCATTAGAGCGGGGAGAAGGGCAGATAGGGGTCTGATGCGTGATGGCCCTCGTAGCTAGCGGGGTATGCATCGCGATGACGGGGAAGAGATACGTACCGGTGTTGTCCTTTGCGGATACCTCGAAGAGCTCCATATCTTTGCTGAGACCCCATTCAGGACCGTCTTCGCCGCCGGTGTCGTCCTCGCTGCGGCTATCGTATTCGACGGCCTCCTCCGCGAGTTCAGCGTAGCCCTTTGTGCCGTTGAGACGACCGGCCGCACCAATGCTCTTCGAACGACCGAGCAAAGCGCCAGTGGATCTGCTCGCGGCGGGGAGCTGCGCCGTGTTCGAGCGCTTAAGGCCGGGGGCGTGGGACTGGTTGGGAGGACTACCGATCGGGTTCTCGTAGCTGGAGTTGCTCTCTGGCGGGCTGGGCCTGGGATGTGGTGATAGCGGGGCAGAGCGTATTGATGTGAATGATGTGAATCGTGGGCGGATGTAGGAGAACGTGCTCGGCTGAGGCGGGGGAGGCGGCGTCGGTGGGCGTGGAGGCGGAAACCACTGGGACAAGCTCAGGCGAGCGAGGTCGTGGGATACCTGCCTGAACTGTACGAGGTCTGCCTTTGCGCCAACGATGTATATCAACAAGTCCGGGGCGCAGTTTTTCTTGAGTTCCTCTAGCCAACCTCGAACGGCTTCAAAGGAAGACTTAGAGGTCAGGTCGTATAATAACAGTGCTGCATTGGCCCCGCGGTAGTACATTGGTGCCATCGAGCGGAAACGTTCCTGGCCAGCAGTGTCCCAGAGTTGGAGGCGGACCTTGACGCCGTCGACGACAACCTTCTTGGTGACGAAGAACGCGCCGGTCGTACTCGTCGTGTTCTTCGGGTCGAACTTGTTCTGCGTGTACCGCTGCAACAAGCTCGTTTTGCCAACGCCTACATACACATTCGTTAATATATCTATTCATATAATTCACACTTCGCCCAGTGCGCACCGGTATTGCCCATGACCACGATCTTGGCGTCGATGCCCTGGTCGTAACGCGAGCTCTTGTATGGGTCCAAGCGCGGGTACGCTGCCATCGTTGTCGTGTTGAACGAGAGGACGCGCGAGCCGGCGCAGGGGAAAGAGTATTTGTTGGGAGATGAAGAAGATGGGAGTAGGAGGCAAGGAACGACCGATCGCGCTGTCCACTTGTCCGAGCACACAACCGCGCGCGCCGGATTCCGACTTCAATATCCTCCTCCCTTCCGCTCGCGTGGCTCGGTCCTTGTACCTTCCCCTTCCGCTTTCTTCACTTCCGGCTCTTTCTTTCGTTCCCTGACTTGTCGCGACTCGATGCATTAAAATGCAAATCCCTCGACGCTGTGCATCCCATCCCCGCACCTGTCACCACTTAGACTCAGACATTCATAGATAAGATGATGCCGCTAACGGAAGAACCTCTGCCGTAGCTGCAAGGCGGACCTATCGTCACCCCGGCCCTTGTCCGTCCCCGAAGTGCTATGACGCACGCGGCCAATGCTATAGTTCAGAGCATGTCAAACTTCCCCATCGCCGCGCGCCGTTGTACTCTATACAGCAGGCATCATTCTCCCACTCACACTACTCACGAAAGCTCGCCGCGCCTCCATATCTCGGACCCTGTCATCTCAACTTCAAACACGCAGTCCTGCAACGATAACACTGCTTTCCCTTTCCCTGTAGGGTCCAAGCACTCTGGCACCGAGCCACCGACTGTGGCAGAACGTTCGCGCAATCGACTACGCGCTAGTCATAGTGCCTCTTCTGTCACTGTCAGTGTAATCTTGATCAGGGTTCTCTCTGGCGTGCTCAAAGCATCTGAAAGCGCGCCCCGCCGCGTCCGCGCCAGAGCCACACCCGTCGGACACCTCGGACCGAACCACTTCACACACATCCTCCTTCTTTTGTCCTGCGCACATCCCTTCCTTTATCCTTTACGCGCTCCCCTCCCATCTCAACGCGCTCCGTACCAATCTTCACGTTGACAACGTTTGACATAAATCCCGCGCCAAGATATCGCATGCAGTATGGAGCACCGCGGCGACAGGCTTTAGATGGTGCGGGGCGATGGCGAGCGATAAAGGAGTTCAAGACCTGCTGACCCGGTCGACTTACGACGCCACTCCGACCTCTGTGAGATGTGAGCTCGTGTACCGAGGCGGTCTTACGGGATACGTACGCTCGGGATCTACTAGCACGATTCCGTCCCGATGCTAGTGTGCAGCGGCGGTAGCCGGGACGCCCTGACGCCGTGCTTTACACGCCAGTCGTAGAGAGCGACTTGCATTCTCCTTTGAGGACGAGTGAATGTACCGCGGAGGTCGAATCTTACTTGCACCGGCCCCCGCCGCGGACGCCGAACAGAACTCGCTCACGACCATACTGTGATGAAGCTTCTTTCGTCTGACGTATGTGGTATCTCGACATACATTCGCATGCGCATCATACAGCGTGCAGTAAAGTTCAGAGCTTCGAACTCTGTTGCATCATGCTCCTGCATCACTATCAACGGTGAACTTCCGAGGAAGAGTGGTCGTGTATCCGTGTTACTCCATATGGTGTGACGCGCACACGCATCTCACGTACTGGACGGTAGATGAAGAGCATCGGCGGTGCCTTCCTCCTGCACACCTTGATCAATCGGCAATCATAACTATCGTGGCGAGTACACTATATGATCGTACAACCCTGCCACGGTGCCACATGACTCAAGTTGATCTTAGTGGGCTCACGATGCCACTCGCGATATGCCGCCGCGCAGCCCCACCAAGCAAAGCCTACTCGTCCCAACTCCACCTTAGGATCCTCGGACTCGGTACTCGGTGCCGCGCGAAAGCACAACATGCAGTTTAGTATGTGTACGCGTTCATATGCGGGAGAAGAGCGCGGAATGCCGCCGGTCCAGGATGACGCATTCCAAGACGTTCGCGAGCTCTGTAACAGCTTCGGTGGACCTCGACGACCCCTATAGAGCCCTAGATGGGTCCAAACGGAGGACAGTCAGTGCTCGGAAGTTGCTCAAGTTTGCGGTAGAACCGGTGGGGTGCGGCGAAGGCAGAGGGAGATGTGAGAAGAGTATGGGATTGGATACTACTGCAACTGGTCTACATACATGTCCCTGTTCTCAACCTCACTGGGCGCAGTACCTGCCCCTCACCTTCACGTCCTCAAGACGACAGCCTCAACGATACGAAGACGGGCGTCGCTTGATCTATCAAATCACAACGAGATCTTCGAACCGCAGGTTGTTCGCACCGGCTCTCAAGGGATATCACTCGGAGAAGACGGCCAGTGAGAACTTTCAAGGTCCTGGCATATGCCACACCAGACTACTACTCGTTGTGCAATCCTGTACTGCATACTGTACAGAACGATAACACACTTGTACGCAAGCTAGCAAACCGTTCATATCATTGAATCGAAAGGGAAAGAAAAGGCGACACTATGATCCTCTAGCTAGCGTGCCCCTATGTACGGCTTGGGTTGTCCTCACACATCGATGCATGGCGGCGACGAACATTCAAGAACACTCAGATAGTGGTATATGACAATCCAGCTCAGCATCGATGTCTCACGTGCACGTCCCTATCCTTCAATTGATCTAGCCGCATCGTGTGCCCCCCTGGACGGTTTCTTTAGTTTTGCTAGCAATAGAGTTCAGCGTCGTGAAGGATCCCGCAGAGGGGAAGGGGATCGACAAACCATGCACATGTGGAAAGAGCGGCTTCAGCGCTTCATCACCAGACGATGTCTTTCCCTTCCCTCTATCATCGGCGCCTGGGCTGTCAGAGCCTGGACCCAACCTTCACGTAGAAGTGCGATGAGCTGAGATATACCAGAAGCATGCTCTGATGCTTACCCAACTTCGGGGGGTCGCGATCTCACACTCGTGCGTATCGGAGAGGTTAAGAAATCATCCAGGGTCGTGTCTTTCATCTTCCTGGGTGGCCCAACATTCCTCCTGGCCCAATACTGGGGCGCGGGCTGTTCCTCTTTGTCCAACTTACCGTCCATTATCGCTTTCGGATGTTTCAGCTTCTCTGTTAAAGGGTATCATGAGATATGTACGCACCGACACCACCACGAATAACGACTTGTGGTCTTACAGCGTTTGGAAACTGCAGGTATTCCAGATCGTTATCGTGCGCGATAGCGACGTTGCAGGTTGACGCCTACGAACATGCAATGACCAACACGTTGAGGTCAGCACCAGCACTACAATCCTCACCTCCAAAATGTAATCCAATGCTGGGTCGAGGCAATCGTGGTACTGGTTGAAGTAACGATTAGCATCTGACCATCCGATATGGCAGCGTTTACAAGCCCACCTGACCGCGTTGCGGTTGTCTCGTAGCAACAATGTCGTCACCCGTGAATGCTGTGCCCTGTGCGCTTACCGGGACGCTTGAGGCATCTGAATCGTTATCGCTAGCATCGAAGCGACGGTCATCCCCACCAGCTGCGCGAAGCTGGAGTCCGCGCCACGGGCGTCGAGCTTTGGCGCGTATATGCCGGATGAATAGTGTTTGATTGCCAACGGTCTTGAGTGGTTGGGATTCGTGAGGCTCTATGCTGGTAGATGTGTCCCGAGTACTCGTTTCGTCAGCCAATGACGACGGGGGAAGTCTTCGAGCAGGGCCGGAGTTGACAAGTGCACGGAATGTACTTTGCCAAGAGAACTGACAGGCGAGATGTACATCTGATCCTGCACTAGCGAACTGGACTCTAAGGCCAAATCCAGCGTCGAGTTTGGTATCGTTGAAGACCGCGGTCGCCCATGAAGTAGTGAGATCGACACCGGTGACCAACATCAGGGCCTCGAGGTTGACGTCGTGATTCTTCCGGATGGCGAATTCATGCCAGCTTTCGAATTTCTCCTGCGCATACCGCTTATAGCTCAAGATGTGGAGGGCGTTATGCGATTGAATAGGATCGGGCGTCGCTAAGATGGCCCCGCGTTTGCTCGAGGCCGAGAATCCCGCAAACCCGCCAAAGAATGGTCTGATAGAAAGCATCCATGGGAGAGCATCAGTTCGTGCTACCGCCTTCCGAGATACCAGACCCGCAGATACTCACCCGGACGCTGATGCGTTGATGTTTTTTGTCTTCACGCTTTGCGAGACGAAGACAGGCGTCGTGTCTTCGGTAGTAGCGACGGTGCTCCTGGGAAGAATCTCGAATCCTTCTGGCAAATCGTCCAGATCAGGTTGACCGCCAGCACCTGGCGCCTGATGTACGTTAAACAAGCGAACGAAGAAACCGAGTTCCGGCCTGTGCTCGATGTTAACGGAGCTGACCTCAACCCCAGCCGGAAAACAGTCGGGAGTGGATTCACTCACTGTATGTAACCGACGTCGCCGATTTGAACGGGCGTCAATCCAGACTGCGTGACTTCACCCTCGGCGTTCTCGATATGATAGTTGACGGGCTGAGGATTCGCAATCGGATGACCACGCTTGAAGGCGCCGGACAGTTCTTCCGAATAGACAACGTGCGGTGCAGGAGACATCTGGGCAGGGTGAACGGACGTCTGGGGTGCAGCATCGCCTAGACTTATACGTCGCCGACTGGGCGCTAATTCGTGTGAACGCCACAGCCCCCCAATCCGAAGATCAGTAGGATTGGAATTCGTCGCGGTATTGTGCATGCAAGAAGCACCGCACGGAACAGAGAATCCACGCTCTTTGTTACCGTGAAGTCACTGTCAGCACGAGTCCGGAAAAGTTCAGTTTGAGAGAAGTGTGTACACAAGGAAGGGTCAGGTCAAAATATTGAAAACGTACCGCCGATGCATGACATTACGACGTTCAAATATCATTCCTAATCCATCCTAGATACAGGATTTGTCAGGCTTCGTACAACAATGATCGCTCTTATCACAGGTCTCTCTAATGAAGATGCCATGTTTCGTCGTCGCGTCTCGCCGCGACAGGTTGACACCTGTTGAAACGCCAGCATCTGCCACGTGCACGCATACGCTCACTGCGGTGTTTTTCAGAGAATTTTGATGATGGAGTGGTTCGAGACATCCAGAGGGAGAGATGATGACAGTAGTGCCTCAACCCAGCAGCATCGCATCGCGCTTGGCTCTAGCCGAACCGGGCCGAACCGCCTGGGAAAGGCAGCCGCGATCACGAGAGCAATTGATGTTAGCGCGGCGCGTGGCGGTCGTGGTTGTTCTCAACCAACAACCACTCTCGATCTTGCCCCGTGTCAACCACTGTTCTGCGCGCTTAAAAGCTCTACAACGCGAAGGAAATGTGAGTATCTCTCCTACGGCCACCATGGGAGGCCCCGTCACCCCCAATCCTGCCACCGTAGCTAAACCCGCCGGTACCACCCAGACCCCTGCCCGCGCGCGCGACGCCACCGACCGTGCATTCACGCTTCAGCCTCAACCAGAGGCCAAAGTCGACTATAAAAACCACGCGAGTGATCTCAGTGCGCCTCGTCATTGACTCTTCAGCCGGATACAGCGCTGATATTCCATGAAATCAGGTGGACTCATGCGGGGCCCTATTCCTGTCGAAGAGTTCTTCACTGAATTTGTACCTTTGCATGGAGAAGACTGGGACAAGAACGTGAAGTTTGGGATTTTGGACTCCGGGTCCGCGATTGAGTTTTCTGAGGGCAGCATCGTGCGGCATTTCACATCCACGTCCGACGATACCAAAACTGATAGATGTTAACAGAGATCTCGCGCTCTGAAGCTCGGGTTATGCAATGGACAGGTCTTTTTCGCCGATACCCACAACATCCCCTGCTTGGCTTACCAGGACGGTACGGAGCGTGTACTCCGTCGACCCGATATGCTCGGTCTCAGTGAGAACCTCTTCGACGGTACGGTCTCTCTGGCCGACCGTTTGCGGGATATGGCCGCTCTCACTGAGTGGTACATCGACCTCAAGAATGTTTATGAGGACCCGTTCGGGTACTACGCGCGGGAGAAGCGCTGGCTTTGGGACTCAAAGATGAGCATCCAGGCTCGTGGGCAGTTCGCCATGTATAGCCACATGCTCTTCGAAGCCGGACACAGAGTCTTCGGCTTCGGCCTAGTTATCATGCCTCTTGTCGCACGTCTGCTCCGCTTTGATCGCAGTGGCGTTGTATTCTCCGAGCGCTTCGACTGGCGCGGGCACTGGGCGTTGCCCACCTTCTTCCACCGCTACGAGCGTATGACTCGTGCCGAGCGCGGATGGGACACGTCTGTCTCGCGCCTCTCTCCTACGGCGACCGAGACGTTATTGGCCGACGGCACCATCCGCGCGATGATCCAGGCGCTGCCGAAGCAGACAATCCAGCCCCTCACCCTCGTCAATGGCGGCCTGTTCAAGTTCGAGGTCTGGGACGAAGAGACGCGCTCGTTGCATTCGTTGATCGCGGGACTACCGCAGACGCGCACGCAGACCTTGACGGGTCGCTCTACCCGCTGCTACATCGCATATGACGAGGAGGAGATGTCCTTGGTCTACTTGAAGGACACGTTCCGCGTCGCTTTGGAGACGCTGAAGAAGGAGTCGGAGGTATATCGCGTCTTGGAAAAGGCTGGAGTCCCTCGGCTTCCCGGCTTCCTCTACGGCGGCGACGTGCCAGCCGTCCACCCCGACGACCTGCGTCGCCCTGCGCCCCCTTCCTACGGAGATGATGACACGTCTACGCCCGCGCGAGATCCGCCAGCACCCGTCGAGTCTATCAATGCTGTTCATCCGTCGTGGAAGACGCGCCCCATCCCGGTGCAAGCAACACGTACCGCCGACTTCAACGCCGCGTCATGGTTCAAGAAGCAGGAGAACATGACGAGAGACCCGGAGAGGCTCATACATCATCGGATCGTCCTGAAGAAGATAGGACGGCCTTTGCGGGACTTCGAGTCCACACAGCAGCTTGCTAGGGCGATATGTGATGCCGTTCAGGGTACGCTCACTTTGACTTTCATTCGTTCTTTCTCGTGTACTGACAAGAGCGTAGCGCACGCTGCGGCGTATGTGGCAGGAGTTCTTCATCGAGACATATCTGGCGGCAACATCCTCATAGATGAGGAGGGTCGTGGCATGCTCATTGATTGGGAGCTTTCGCGCTTTACCGACGACACCTCTCCCGCCCATAGGGAGTACCGCACGGTGTGTACACACGACATGCGTTGTGGACTACGCTGATTTGTTTCCCAGGGAACGTGGGCTTTCATGGCCGCCGAGCTGTGTCAGGACCAGCGTGCCGCAGACCACCTTTTGCGTCATGACTTCGAGTCGTTCGTGCACGTGTTATTTTACCACGTACGTTTCTTGCAGTGCATATGAAGACGTTTTGTCGCTCATTCATCTCTTAGGTATTCCGTTACTGCAAGATGGAAGGCGCATTACCGGAGGATATACACACGGCTATGGTGGACGTCTTTGAGGACAAGCAGATCCTCGGCGACAGGCAACGCGGCGGCCAGGGCAAGATCTCCTACTGTGTCGACGTTTTGGCGGAGTTCCGACAGGCGATGGTCGTGGACGTTAGCCACATTCCTCAGGGTCTTCAGAACCTCCTCTTCGAGGCCCGAGCACCGTTCAAGGTACTCTACGGGGTCGATGCCGACAGTGGGACCGGCCGAGCAACGCGGTTGTCACCTCTGGAGCGCCAGATGAGGACCCTCGCCATGGCCAACTTGGAACGACCACATTTCTTCTTCGAGGATGTGTGGAAGCCCATTATCGAGGACGCCGAACTCTGGAGCGCTGCTGACGATCATGCTGCGGAAGACCAGTTTCCTCCTGCGCGAGTCAAGCAATGGGAGGCGGCACGTCGTGGCAGGGCCGAGTCAAAGTCCTCTCAATCGAAGCGCAGGAAGCTGAATGACACGCACTCGGCGCCTGTGCTCAACCAACGTGTAACGAGGAGCGGAGCGAAGAAGGTCCCTGGGATTGATAGCGTGTCCGCGATGACCAAGTGCAAGCCCGGCGACACGTCGAAGCTTGGAAGCAAGCGCAAGTTCGATGACACCGCTATCGCCGAGGAGGAAGACGATGAAGATGAGGATGAGGATGACGGCGGTAAGGCTTTCGAGCCCGAGGATGACAGTGGTGACTACGTGCCCGGATGATTGTAAAGACGACGAGGAGCGATTGCGTCCTGGTATATCTGTGTGATGATACGGTTATTGTCACGGCGCGGTATTGTACTTGTAGCCTAGATCATTTCCTATTATATCATTGTAGTCGTACCAGAACTCTTACGAGTTTCACTTCCAGCAGCTCGCAGGCGTCTCCCTCTGCCTTCAAGGCATACAACTCTCGATCCTGTCGAATGACTGGTTCAAACTGACAGCATGTGAGCCTGAACATGGCTTTGAGTGGTGGAATGTGAGGACGCGGGGATGGGCGCAGTGAGCGATTATTGATCAAATTGTATTCTACAGACCCAGAATATGTTACGAGGGGAGATAAAAGCGACGTTAAGCAAGGCACAGGGGCGAGTGAACAGGGTGTATATAGCTATGAATGATAGCGCCCGCTACGGTTTCAATCAATGATCACAATCAACATCGTGTGACAGACAAAACATACCACTTTACCACCCAGCGTTGTGGTAGTCGTCGTTCCATGAGCGATGCCTTTCCAACGCAGCAGCGCGACGATCCTTGCCCTCCCGCTCAAGCCGCTCCTCCTCCGTCTCAGCCTTGCTAGATTGCCCTAGCTGAACACCAGTCTGTCCAAGTGGCTCACGACCACGACCCAGCAGGTCCGTGTTGTTGACTTGCCGTTGCCACAATAAGTTACGCCGAAGGTCATCGCTCAACTCCTCACCCAGCATGTTTCGCCGAGTGGTGCGCGGACTCGTAGGCATAGCCGGTGCGATAGGGAAGCCCGGCGGAGGATCTGACTGTACAGGTTTGATGGTCGTCTTGGGACGCGTCGGATGCGAGGTGCCGAGAGCCGACGCTTGATTATGAGCTGAGCGACGTGGACTTCGACCCCGACGACCAGGTGAGAACGCCGAGAGCGCGGCGTCCGGAAGGTCGTATTCCTCTTCAGACGACTCGTTCCAGTCCTCAGAGTCTGACCGAGGGAGACCATTATCGTCGAGGGTCTGGTGTAGAGCTGCAGGCGTACTATCCGTTTCAGAGAGCGTCGATGCCGCACGGAGTAAGGGATTTGTGGACGACGATGGCTGCAAGAGCTGGTTTGGCGGCAGGTTCGCGCTGTCTGGTTTCAGCAGCTGCGATAGCAGACCGAATTGCATGCGATTGATGTTGCTGTAGGAGCGTCCGGGAAGCTTGCGGAAGAGTTCTCGTTGCGCATCGGTTGTGAGCGCCGTCGCACGTAGGTCTGTCTCGTCTGTCTCGTCCTTCTGCTGCTCATCTTTGCTGTACTCCCATTCGCTCTCTGTATCGGCCTCGCCATCTTCTGCGGCGCTGTGCATTTCCAGCAGTTCGGGGTCGTCGAAAGTCTCAGTGGCATCCTCAGCGTCGCTCTCCGCAAACTTGCGCACTCTCTTCGCCCAACGGAGGCCGCATGCATCGCATAGATTATTCGAACCGCGCGGGCCCTTGCGCCACTGGGAGCCATCCGTTCGGCCGCAAGAAGTACAAGCCTGTGGCTCGATGATCTCACGACCCTTCAGCTGGCGCACCGTCAGCATCTTTCGTCTTGCCCTCATCTAGTTTGGGAACTCACTTTGACAGGGATGTATTCCCGACCGGATATCGCGATAGGTTCGCGAGTTATAGTACCGTAACCTGAAGATGCCGATACCTCCAGCTCATCCGAATTGAGCATCCCTTCAAGACGTTCTTCAGCTATGATAGAGGACTCAGAGGCGCGGCGGCAACCTCGTACCTATTCCATTTTGAGTCGAGATGCGCGGCCCTCCACCTGATTGCAACAATAACACAAGATCTTCGTCGTGAGCGATCGCGATAGTCGAATCGGAATGCTTTGAATATGAATGAGCAAGCGATCCACCTTCGCATACCGTTCAGCTCACTCACCTCCAGGATATAATCCAAGACTGGCTCTAGACAGTCCCGAAACTGGGAGACAGAGTGCGTCAGTACCATTCTTTGTTGAACAATATCGGACAGACCTCAGGACGCTTCGGGTGCCGGTTCACAGCGATGTTGGTAGATGATGTCGTCTGCTCGACACCGGCCTGTCCATCTGAGGACTCTCGGGCGTCTGAGTTAAAGTCAGATCCCTCTTTTTCGCCAGCAGCTCGAAGTTTGAGTCCTCGCCAAGGGCGACGAGGTTTAGCTCGTATATGCCGAATGAATAAGGTTTGGTTGTTAAGCGAGTTGATTGGGCGCGCGGCTGGGGAGTCGACGTCCGTCATGGCAGCGTTTTCTCGACTGCGAAGCTGTGCAAGAGCTGGAACAGGCCCAGAATTGACGAGCGCCCCAAACGTACTCTGCCATGAGAATTGACAAGCAAGTTGTATACCCGCTCCCACATCCGCAAACTGAACCTTCAAGCCGAAGCCGGCTTCAAGCTCGGTGTCACTGAAGATTGCCGTCGCCCAGGATGTCGTGAGGTCGACTCCAGTGACGAGAATCAAGTCCTCGAGAGCGATATCGTGCTCTCTTCTGACGGCGAACTCGTGCCAGCTTTCCATGTTCTCCATGGCGTGCTTCTTGTAGCTCCCTATGTGGATGGCGTTGTGGGACTCGATGGGGTCGGGTGTGGCTAGAATCGCGCCACGCTTGCTGGTGGCAGAGAATCCAGCAAAGCCGCCGAAGAAGGGGCTGTGTAAGATGGACACGTCAAACGTCTTCTATACCATGACAACACAGCCAAGACGCACCCATTGGCTGATGCACTGATATTCTTAGTCTTGACGTTGTGCGATACGAATACGGGTGTCTTATCTTGCGTCTTGGTGACCGTATTCTTTCGGAGAACTGTGAAGTTATATGGCAGATCGTCGATGGCGGGCTGACCGCCGACTCCGGGTTCTAGATGAACATTAAAAAGACGAATAAAGAACCCGTGCGCAGGCCTGACAAGGAGCATCAGCTGGAGCAATTGTGGATGCGGATCATACTCACTGGATATATCCCACATCTCCGATCTCAATGGGCCTCGGTCCAGATCGTATGACTTCCCCATTAGAACCAATGGTCTCATAGACGACGGGTTGCGGATTTGCCATGGGATGACCGCGCTGGAAAGCTCCAGACAGCTCTTCAGAATATATGACATGTGGAGCAGGAGCCATCTGGAGTGAGGTCCGACGACATGGGAATGCGAACGTTGCCCCTGCTTTATAACTCGGTTTGGCGAACCTCAGGATCCAACTACGATAACTGTCTGACCGACGGACGTGTGAAGAGATGCAAGCTTCTGACGACCGAGCCAACATAGCCTCATCACAGATCACCTCCTGACCATGCTGGAGAGCGACCGCACATAGAATGGGTCCGAAGAGGCAGTGCGCTATGCATACTCGCATTACGCCGTCTCAAACAGTGCAGGATTCTCACCGATGTTCGGGGACCACTCGGAATCCTCATGGTGATTATCGATTAATATAGACGTCCGACGCGTAAGTAAACATAGCATTACAGCGTCTAACGTCTATGCACCGCGCTGAACCGTCGTCTGTCCGTCCCATGCCTGAATCTTCGGCTTGGCGGTGTTATACGTGCGGAATGCGCCGCGCGTGCCAGTCAAATTCTCCGTCCATGGCTATGAAGGACGTGAGTTTCAGTCCATGAGCGCTAGAAGTAGTCAACGCACCGCTGAAGCGTGCCACTTCGGAATCGACTCCTGCATGATCTTATCCTCCGTCGGCGGCAACTTGCGGATATGCGAGATCCATGAATGCCATTCTGGTGGTACTTGGGTTGCGTTGTATTCATGCTGAGAGGAGATTTCAGTTCCAAGGTTGCGTCAGAAGTTTGGTTCAGCGCACCTGTGCGAGGTCAACCCATCTGTGCCGTCCTATGTATATCATCAGTACCCACGGCATAACGTGTGGAAATTGTCGGGCCACACACCTGGCACCTCATCGTCTGGGTTCAAGTTCTCGTAGTACCTGTTACCGAACCTACATACTTTATCAGTAAATAGCATCCAAATATTCGAAAACCAGGTTCAGAAGCGCCTCTGGGTCCAAGCTCTCATCTGCACAGCTCCATGGCCCCGAAGCAAAGATATAGAGGAACAAGCACGTACTGGTCCTTCCCGACGAGAGTTCCAGCCTTCGCGTCTCCAATGTACATCATCTGGCGGAAGTACTCCTTGAGTCCTGCGCGCCTAATCTGGCGAACATAACGTGCGAGCGACACCATAGTGTCGCCGAGTCGGAGGGTGTAGTAAAGGTGAGGGTGGAGGTGAACGACCGAGTGCGCGCGGAGCGGCGTGAAGCCAGGTCCGCAATTGGCCGATCAATTTCGCACGTGGCACGCCGGGGTGAATGAACTAAATAATATCATACGGCTTATCTCACACTACGGGTAGAGACAACCATCTTTCTTAAGCTGTTGTGGAAATATGTACCCACTCTAGGTGAAGGGTCCGCTATAACCCACCTAGCGGTTCGGTCTTCAGAGTTGCCGGTGGTACAACAACAACGATGATATATATCAGCAGTAAAGTACAGAAAGCAATCCAGTATTGTTTACATATGGTACAGATATATCATGCCATCTCCACGCCTCCAACATATACGGCAATATTGAGCGGAAAGGGCGAGAGCTCAGAACTCATGATCGGTGGTACGGCCGCCCGACCCTGCTCTGATGCGGTATGCGTGAGCATCGTCGTTACGCTCTTCGTGAGAGTTGATGCAAGCTCCTGTTCAAACTTCATTCGCTCTGGGGACAAACACAGTCAGGAAGCAATTCGATATTTGGACAGTGAAAGCGGCATACCGGACTCCGTCTTCGGTTGTCGGATCTCCGCGTTAATCACCCTAGAACAAGTCAATACGATCATGCACAGGTCGCGAGGATACCATACCATGATTCCCATGGCACGTCTTCCTGTGAGCGATGTGAGTTTTGAGGCCAGATGAATGCATTGGTATCAGCGTACCTCATAGGGGTAACCGATCCAGTTCTTCTTCGTTTGTTTCTCGGACAGAGTCACAGTTATCTGGTCACGCACACATATGGACATGAGCTCTGGGGTGAGCTTCAGGCACACTCATACCTTCCCCTTCTTGTTCGCAGCACCGCTCTCCATTCCTCTCCAGAACGCATCAACCTTGTCCTCCACAAGTTGCTCAATCCCTGCATCCGCCACACCCGGCTATAAAATCACGACATAAATGCGCCGTTTATATCCATCTAGAAGAAAGATTCATACAAGTGTGACATCCAGTACTTCGAACGTCTTGGGCTTGACAGTGCCAAACAAGCGATGGAATAGAATGGCGTGCAAGAGTGCACGCAGAACATCGCGAGTGTTATGCCGGTCGAGTATCTAACGCGAGCCGGCATCGGCCACCTGCGTCGTGTCCGCGCAGGGAGCACTCACGATGTCGATGACGATATTTGCGTTGGTGCTGGACATGATGGTGGTGAGGGCTTGAAGCGCGTGCACGCGACTCCGCGCCGAATCCCGACGCCGAGCCTCAGCCCGAGTCGCGCCGTCGGGCGCGTCTCACCTACCAACCATCATGCATCCTACACTTCGCTCGCTGGAGCATATGCACAAACCTTTGATTCGCTTCCTGGGGAAGCACCAGTGGTGTACGTCTACCCAAGTTATACATGTCCCCCGACTGCAGCCGCTAACACTATGACATAGCGTCCGAGGCACCGCACGCGCACCCAGCTGCACCGAAGGATATTGCCGACCGCTTCACTCAACTATTCTCTTCACGCGCGTCTAGTGGAAGCGGCTCAGGCGCAAGTGCGAAGAAGAGCTCAGGTAGCTCGGGCGCACTGGAGTTCTGGGAGGCACCCGACCGCCTATTCCGTCCGCGTATACGGAGGATTGACGAGTGGGAGATTGACGCCGTTGAGGTATGTTGTACACATTCCAGTTTCTGTCAGGAGGGTCACTGACGAGTCTTATCTCCTTAGACCGGCGGCGCATCGCTGCATTAGTAGCAGTCTAGCTGTAGAATATAATCGCTAATTATCGACACTGTTTTCGTTTGCTTCGTATTCCCGCTTGCCAGAGCTTCAACCCAACCGCGAGCATGAACCAAACCCTTCAACTTGGAACTGGCCCTTAAGCAAGACCACGAACGCCTCCATCAAACTCAACCGGTCTAATTCTTGGTTCCCGACCGGCATGTCTACGCCTACTGGGCTCATTCAACGCGACAGTTATGTCACAGTTTATTACCATACGGGGAAGCTGTGGGCGCGCGCTCTTTCCGGAACGATACTATACACCCGTACCCGCACCTCCACTTCTCGCTCGCACAATTGTTGCAACGCGGTGACCGGGTATGATCTTCAGCTAGGACAGGCGTGCTGCGCGCGCCTTCTCTGGCAGCTTCTCATCGCCCTCAATCATCTTGGACCAGCGAACGTGCTACGTTCAATCGCCATCTTACTAGATGGGGAAGTCGTTTTGAATAGGGCGGGTACTGCTGTAGCCCGTACTAGGACCAACAAGTCGTTCCGAACGGTCGGTACGGAGAATAAGGAGTCCGGACTTGAGCCAGTTTGTGCTACGGAATCGCTTTTTCACAGCAGCGCTGCCTCCGTATTCACCATTCAATCTTCTGGCGCGTCGCCTATGCGTTGTAGGCTGCAACATCAGGCCGCTGAAACGGAAGGCCAGTCTGATCTGGGGTGAGGCCTCTCGGCATCATTCGTCCCTTTGGTTTACAGCGCATTCGCTCTGTATATAGGCTGGTGACTGTCACCAGCCCAGCCCAGCATTATCGCCTTTATTTCTTCTACCCATTCCTTCTTCATCACACATCCCTTCCTTGAACTCCTCTCTCTCACTAACTATACCCCATGTCTGCCGCGATCCTCATCTTCAAGTACCTCAACCGCCGCTACAAGAAATACCAAGCCGAGAAAAACGGCCAGCCCTACTCAGAACTCGACGACGAGGACCTTCAACCACTGTACGACGAGACCCTACCGGACGGCTCACGCATACCGCCTCCTACAGCCGAAGAGATCAACTTCCTGCAGCGGAACGGCCTAGGCAACGGTCTTGACTGGAAGAACTGGCGCAAGTACTTCACCAGAGAGTACTATACGTTCAAGAAGCTGCGTACGTCCATGACTCCATGACTCTTCGCCTGCGAAACATGGAAACTGACATAATATTCCTTATGCAGTGAGCGTGTTCTTCGGGTTGATCGGCCTCACGCTCCTCATTCTGTCCGTCGTCTACAACAGCAAGATACTGCAGTGGCTGGCGCCTATCGGGGAGAAATGGAGAGCGTGAGTGTATTCGCTGTGTCCCCTTTGGCCACGCTCGTCTGATACAACGTCACAGTTTGCCTGGAGGGTGGTTGATCCCCATCGCCATTCTCATCGTACTGTCCTACCCTCCGGTACGTTTTTCATGTCTTATTCATTGGCTCGCCAACCGCTGCTCACGCCCGGACTTCCAGCTCTTCGGACAAGAAGTCATTTGTACTGTCTGCGGTGTGGTTTGGGGCACAGGCTTGGGCTTTGCTATCGCAGCAGCCGGCACCGTCGTGGGCGAGATCATAGAGTTCTTGTGCGTCTCCTCTCAATGATGCATCGCCGATATTCCCCTTATCCGATCATACTCAGCGTCTTCCGACTTGCCTGCCGCGGCCGTAGCGGCAAGTTCGAGGAGAAGAGCCTGGTATGGGGTTTACTCGCCAGGATCACTCGGACTGGGGGCTTCACTATCGTCTTGATGGCGCGTTTGAGCTTTCTCCCGTCGCACTGTATGTGTCCGTGCTCTTTTACAGCATTGCGCATGCTCATCCGAAGCAGTTACTACGATCGTGTTCGCCATGGCCGGTACCAACTTCTGGAAGTTCCTCGTGGCACTCATCGTCTCGCTCATCCAACCCTTCACGTACGTCTACCTCGGCGCGGTGGCCATCCAGAAAGCGGGTACGCACGTCTGCTCTACATAAATATCACAACAGTGTACTCATTTATGGTGTCGACAGAGCACAAGGAAGACAACACCTCGCAGACCGTGAGCACCCTTACGACCGTCGCAAGCGTCATCATCGGTTTGGCCGCGATGCTCTATATCAACGTCAAAGCGAACAAGGCGAAGCCTGACTTCATCACGGAACGTCGATTGGCGAGGTGAGTATCTGAGTTGCCGTGTGCGTAGAACTCTGCTCACTGCTCACGATTACAGGCGAGCAGAGGCCTTCGAGAGCAGGGCTGGATCCCCTGGACCTAGTCGTTCAATCACGCCGTTCCAGGGTACTCGGCCCAGTTCGCCTACACTTTCGGGAGGGCCGTATCAGGCTCCCAAGGGTGCCGAGTCTCAATACTCGTATGCGTCATTCGACACTGTCTGATGTAAACCGCACCCCCCCTCCTCTCATGAGCGCTCGCACTGGGAATTAATACCGATGTTAATCTATTTTCATCTATACTTCGTGTATACAGTTTGTGCGGATGTTAAGACAAGAGATGAATGGACGTTCCTGGAGGCGATGCGCGGTTTGTGGGTGACACAGAATCAGCGCTGAGAGTAGCGGAGGACATGTCCGCGTTCAATCAACGTTCAATGGTCCGTGCGAAGTTACAATCGAGTCGCTCTGTACTATGGCGGTCAGTTTGTTTCAAAATTCGGGGTTCATTTCCACACACC